TTCTTTTTCTATCTATAGGTGCATTCATTCTATCGCTCACAATACATATTAATAATCAGCAGTATAATTAACTAATATTGTACACAATTTTAATCTGATAATACCTTTACTTACATAACATGAAGGTCTGCACATCAGCGCATATCTATAAATTGGCGTCATTTAAACTCTAACACATAATGCTTCTAATGGTATAATGTCGTGTTATACCTACCATCGTCTTAAGGCTTCGTGTCACATTATAGTCAGCAGGGCAGAACGGCGCCGTAACACCGCTAAGGTATTTATGTTCTGTGGCTGTGACGCAAACGCAACATTCATAGTACCTACTTATTTGTTGAACTACCTATATGGGAGATGACACACTGCCACAGTGAAATGCATATATGTGCTTCGAACATTACGAACGAACGCTATATTTCCTCAGTAAACGTGTGTATGTAGCTTTCATCTAAATGAGCTTCTCGATATCACTAATATTAGTAAATTACAATTATGTTTGTATTTAGGGGTAGCGCCGTTGCGACTAATGGCCATAAGGTGAATGCCAAGTTTCTTTTTACCCTGGCGCCTATTCACATAGCGCCATTTAATCCCAAACCGAGCAGAGCTTGGTTAATGGGTACTGGACCACTGATATAAGTACTTAATTATTTTTCGTAAATTCATACAGAATATACATAGAAAATATCCAGGCCGATACAAGCAATCATACTCATGAATATAAATGTTTGCACCGTGCAAGGGATGAAACCCGCACCCATCGGAAGTAAAGCGGTGTGCTAAACCGCTAGACCACCGAGGCCGAGTTCTGTGTAATATGAGCCTATAATAATCTTTTTTTTAAAACATTTCTTTGATGCATGATAAATGTGAAGCTTTATAATTTTTATTCAACTAATTTGCCAGTCTCTTAATGCATTTTACATTTAAATGACATAAATAATGTACAGTAATATGCAAAAGAGTAAACTGCAGTATCAATAAATATATAAATTTCAGTTCTATTAAAGTCAATACAAAACATTAATTACCAATATTGGCCGCCTATATAGGCTATGGTTGCACTTTCAATCAGGTAGGCCGCCTGTTTGTTTACACGTTCGAACGGCAGATTTGTTTAGATTCAAAAGTAAAAGCCAATCTGCTGATTGCTATACTCGTTATCTAAAATACACATGTCAGAATGACATGGTAAATAACTAAGCAGATTCTGTATTATTATTTCCTTGGTTCTTATAAAACGTATACACGTGGAAAATATCACGTGTATATGGAAAAATCATATGACCGAAGAGGTCTCGTTTTTATAAAATACGTCAATGAAGATACATATGTATAGTAATTATTATCACATGCATGGAAGTCTATTTTTAGAGCATATCATATGTTTGAATATCAATTTAATTTATACTCGACAGCAAAGAATGGGAAATACAACCAAGCTACTTTCAAGTAAGAAATATTGCACTTAAATATAATTAAATATGAGCTAAACGAGTATTAATTAGTGACTTCTCAAGAATTTCGAATATTCAAAATTCGTCCTTGAACATTATAACACACATTAGGTATTCAGGTATATACTGAATGATCATCGCATACTAAATTTGTCTAAATTAACTTTTTTATTAATGTTTCCCGCATTTTTGTTTTTGTTCGGTCCGTCCTGGAACGGGAAAGGAACTGCGCCCATACAGCCATGTCTACATTTAAGAGAAATCAATAATTACATGCACAATTACTACATCGCTAGTAGTGTTCCAAGTCAAGTTAACCTCCATACGGTTCCTGGAAACTATCGTGATAAATTCCTGGTGAATTTGTCACAATGGGCCAACTGCCCTGACCTCTCCTCTTATCATCATCCACTGGTGCCCCGCCAGCATAAACCATTAGCGCAGGCGGGTGCATCATTCCATAATCATCCATAAAAAAGTTAGCACATCAATAGATACATAAATAATTTATAGGTGACCTATTTTTGTTACCTATGCGTGTACCTAAATATTGGTCACAATTACACTTGACAAACGAACTTATAAATGTTTCTTATAGATAACAACTCCTAATAGCTATAAATTACGAGCTCTACGTCATAATTACCGTAACCTATAATTTCAGTCACGCAACGATATCATTACTGATGATAGGTTCTATCATTGTTAAGAATACATTACTCTATTATAGTAATTTAACGAAATAATCTATTTTTGTAAAATGTACTCTAACCTTGGTGAATAGAATATTATTACGAAATAAACTATTGAGTGTTTATTGTCCTTTGTCAAATTTGGATCATCGGATGATCTTAGGATAGGATATAATAGATCTAAACTAGATAGATAAATACACTCACCAATGCTGTTAGTACTAATTACGTTAGGTTTCTACAGTTAGCTATGCAATCGAATGGTAGTCAGTCATAATACTCCTACGACATCTAGTCGAGGGAAGGGGATTGTTAGAAATGTGGACTTTCAAACCCATTGCTAACAATGTACGATATTAAGGTTGACCTCCACGTGGTACCATCCATCATGGAAACCATCGTGATAAATTACTGCTAAATTTGTCACGATGGGCTAATTGTCCTGACCTCATGCTTATCTTAACATCCTCCACTGGCAGCGTAAACGTTAACGCAGGCGGGTGCACCATTTCATTATCATCCATTAGAAAACAAAACGAAATATAGCCGTCTGTTTAGCCATCTGCCATATTCATACGAAAGATTGCTTATAAGTTAGAGATCTTCATATACTTGCATTTTCAGTATCAAATACATTATAAAATCCGATAAAAACTACATTTATCAATATCGTCAATTTTAGAAGTTGTTCAAAACAACTTCACAAAATATTGATTGGTTTATCCTTACTTATTGCAGTCCAACCACGATACTATTGACGATATTTGGTTACAAAAATACAATGTAAAAATGTTCATGCACTAGTTACCTATTGTTGTTAATCAAGTACCTAATTGTTTTATAATATTTACCGTCGGTTTGCAATTTACTCGTTTAATGTAGTATTTATGCCAATATTCAAGTCAAGGTACCCTTGCCTGTGTTAAGTTGTAGCTTGTTGTGTTAAGTATAGGACTAATAAGTAATAATTGAATATTAATATTCAACATTTAATACGCAACATTTATCCCTATACACACAAAGTAAGAATATTACAATCTGCTATTGTGTTAACCTCTATTCAAACCCAGAATGTAAAAACAGGTAATTCATCACCTACTTCTTCCTTATCCCATTTATTTGGAGTTGGCGTAATATGTTTTCTCTTCTATTCATCCCTATTCGCACTCAACTCGTTATTTACTCCCTTTCTTACCATATCATCTTTCACACAGTCCATCCACCTCATTTTTAAACCTATAAATGTGAATGGTTATATGGATACACACCTTCCTTAAAATATTAATGTAAAAAACAGGTAATTAAAGGAACAAAATAATTTGCTTTGAATACGCATAATTTCTTTAAACTACTTAACTTTCTTATAGTACTTTATTTCACCTAGACTTAAATAACATAAAAAAGTAAAAAATCATAAAAATAGGCTAAATTACAATAGTCCAATACCAAATTAAAGTCTAATTATATAGTGTCTACATATAAAGGCTATTACTTACGATCTCTGCACCATCGCTGATTGGTCTCAAAAATTCGGTCTATTAATTAATGCAGCGAAGTCTCAAGCTATCATTGTCGGCAGTCACCACTCCATCTCAAGCTTACAATCTGTCCAAATTCCTAACATTGTCTTTGACGGCAATCATATTCCTTTCTCTCCCACCGTCAAGAATCTAGGAATAATCATGGATCAGACTTTATCTTGGGGGCCTCACATAAGTGACATAAGCCGCAGATTATTTTCATCTCTCCATTCTCTCAGACGCCTGCAGTTTTTCCTGCCCTTGGGTACCAAATTGTTGCTGGCTCGATCACTACTTCTTCCCGTACTGGATTATGCTGACAGTGCCTTTCTAGATCCCTCTGAGGAGTTGCTTGATAAGCTGGAGCGGCTGCAAAATCTGTGTATCAGGTTTATCTTTGGTCTACGAAAGTTTGATCATATCTCAGCCTACCGTGAGCAGCTCAACTGGCTTCCTATCCGTGTTCGTCGGAATATTCATTTCCTTACCCTCTTATTCCAAATCCTCTTCAACCCCCATTCGCCCTTTTACCTGCAGGAGAGATTCCGATTCCGTACTGGTGAGCATATACGTTCTTGTCATGATCTTGTACTCACAATTCCTTATCATATAAGCTACCGCTACACTAAATCTTTTACTGTACAGACAGCACGCCTATGGAATTCACTCCCCACAGAGATTAGACTATCGCCTTCGATCAGTTCTCTTAAGAGACATCTTATTAAGCTCTGGAGTCATTCTGAGTCTGCGCTTTTTTAATGCTCCACTTATTTACATTATTTTTCTTTTCCTTTCTGGTGTGTGTATGTGTATATGTATGTGTATGTATGTATGTATGTATATGTATATATATTTTCTGTATATATTATTGGTTATATATGTCATTGTGACGCGTATTATTTATTGTACCTATTTCCACCACTGCGCAATTCCTCTCAGTAACTCAAAGGTTGACTGGAAGAAATCCCTCTTCTGGGATAAGTCCGCCATTGTACGCATGTTTTTTTTTCTAAGTCAATTGTGTCCTTTTATATATAATATTATTGTACAATAAAGTATTACAAACAAACAAACTTTTTTAAAATAATATTAACAAATTCACGGCTATATTAATAGCAAAATTTGTATAGTGACAGATATTATGGATAACATAATTAAATAGTAAATATATTCTGTGCATTAATTTTATAAGCATAGATATAATGTGTTGTACCAAATTTCATACATGTTCGTCCAATCGACATTAAAACAACAATTATTTTTAAAAATCTTTCAGATTTACTACTTAGATATTTAGATATTTTAGTAATAAAAACGATTTTTCATAGGAGAACAAAGAATACTGCACAATGTATCCGGGGAGTTTCGTTCTGGTGAACTTACCTGCATATTGGGACCATCCGGGGCTGGCAAGTCTACTTTACTCAACATATTGGCCGGATACACGTAAGTGAATTTAAATTGTAATAAGCACTGTACCAGTACAGTTAAGAGCTATTATTGATTTACCGAAATCATTTATTTTACAACATAATTTTTTTTTAATTTAGATAAAATAAAACCAATACATATTATAGTATATCGAATTTGTTTATTAACTCCATTCATTAAAATTTCATTCATAATATATAATCTTCTATTATTTAATTAATTCTTGGTTAGTCGTAATTTTTTCTACGGAAATTTATCAGTATTGATATACCGATCTAAATTTTACTTACATACTTGAATAAAAAAAACTTCTTAGTTTTTTAAATGCAAGTTATTCTAAAAGTTTTGAATGTATATAGATTTATATTGCGAATGCATTAGGCTCTTGATATTATAATAATGTAATTAAAAAAAATCTTTTTTTTACAGATCCAACGGGGTAAACGGTCGTATCACTGTCAATGGTCATACGCGTGACATGAGAGTGTTTAAAAAGCTCAGTAGCTACATCATGCAGGATGATCTGTTGCAACCACGGCTGACGGTGCAAGAATCTATGAGGATAGCAGCGGATTTAAAACTTGGGAAGGAACTTGGGAAACCAGAGAAAGAACTCATCGTATGTACACATTTATTTCATATTTTTATACTATTCAAATAGCTACCTTTTGGTAGACATTCTACCTAATTGTTCCTAAACTGGTAAGCATAGCTGTATACGTAAAGAACACAAAATATACTTATTATATAACTATTATTACACTAAATGTTGCCCACGACTTAGCTAGTTGTTTTTAGAGAAAAGAGTCTATGCTATAAAAGAGACCATGTGATACACTATATTCACGTTAAATTTCATTATAATCTATTCAGCCAGTATTTAATAAATTTAGTCGTGAATAGGTGTTACCTAGACAGCCACTATTTCATACATATAATATTACTATGTAGTATGTGTTGCATGGTGGTGAGATGTGTTCTCATGCGTTAATTCCTTATAACTCTTACAAGATGTATAACTGCGTTTAAAGATATATATTTTACAATTGTAATAGCGAAATTAAGAAATTCTAAGTACTGACTATATATACAAATGTTAAAACACTCACTTCGTGTTTTTATAAGATACATATTGGCTTTCTTCGTGACTTATAATAAACAATCTTTACAACCATAGCATTTCATGTAATAGTAACTCGGAACAATTCGCACAGCGTTTCAAGCTAAGCAGATTTTTTTAACTTGATACATTGAAAATACCCAGATTGATAAAAACAATCATCTCATACTCATTTATATATGGTTCCCCACGAGAAACTAATAGTGCCATTTATCTGTATCAATAAATAAGAAATATATAAAGACGATTATTAGTATAATGGATGAAATACAAAATGGTATACAGATGTGCTATAATTGTAGATTAAGTTCATATAAAAATGCGTGAACATATACTTGTACCTCTAATAAGCTCATAATAAATGTACATAATTGTGCCCATTCTTACAAGTATCTAAGTAACCTTTTATCATTACATTTATCGCTAAGTTATTTACATGATTGTACAATATATAATCCACTGTCATTGACATACTAAATTGACATAGTATCCATTATTACAATGTAACCTAAAAATAAAAATGTACTTTATAATGTCAATAGTTTTAATTCTTTTCCGAAGCAAACTGAGTGATGTGAAGCGTACTTTCATCATATCATATTTTTCAGAAAGATATAATTAAATACTTCCATTCCTAGTATATATATATACATATAAGCTTCTGATAATCGGAAACAATTGTAAGATTCTTTTCTATTGAAACTACAGGATAAAAGGTATGATATCTTAGTTCTCTGGAATGGCAACGCATGAATCACGAGGGTCACATGTCCGCATTTTCAAGCGTATAAGCGACGGTTACCACTTACCATCAAATGGGCCATCAGCTTGTTTGCCATTCTAATAGCATAAAAAAATATTGTCTTGCAATCATATTATTATCACCATTTTTATATAAACCTAATTCTATTTTGATTTTAGAGAACATTACATATCCTTCGACGCTTGTATTATTAAAATTAACTATAGACCTCAAATCTCAAACAAAAAGCACTATTTTTTAAATTACGTAATATTGATTCTTAAAATGTTATTGAGTGATTATGTATCCATTATAAAATTGCGTATGTGCTAAAAATAACGCGGTAAAGTAACCCAATAGGGAAGACCTAATTAAAGATTATACGTCGTTTGTTAATTAGGTAGGTTATGTATCGTCGTCTAATTAATTAATTAGTTGTCTTCATAATGTATTAAGGTATTTCATAATCTAATTATATCACACTGGCAATATTTGGAACATTTGAATTTTCTCTCTGCTAGAAAACTTAAAAATGTTCAGTCGCCAAGTGCCAATGTCATTTTTATAATTACCACACAAGCCGTGACCATACAGTGTGGCATTTTTTTTATAATAACAATTTATGGCAGCATATATGTAACTAACATTAATCGGCTACTTTTAAGGCGAAGAATGAAATTATTCATTTGATACTTGCTTATTTGCAATCGCTTATATTTTCAATATATTTAAATCTTTACTGATATTATGTTATTTATATAATGTCAACAAAGACACTTATATATACAGTTGACTCTATAATGTCGTTATGGAGACGACATTATGAGGTCTCTCGGTTTAGAAAAATCTATCCTAACTAACGAATGTATCTACTATACCTATTAATTTTGTTCTAAATTACTTGTTTGCATAGGTATTAATTAGTACGAGTAATTTCTAGAAAAATAATAGCTTGCAACTTCTTGGCGTAGTATAAAACAAAGTCGCCGCCGGTGTCTGTTCACTTATATCTTTTAAATTATGCAACGAATTTTAATGCAATTTTCATTAACAGATAGAGTGATTCTTAAATCACTCTATCTCACAAGGAAGGTTTATATGTATAATACTTACATGCGTTTTATAGGATAGAACAAGCCGAGATATTCAAAGATTTGTAATATATCCGTATGAAGCCGGGACGGATCGCTAGTACAATGTAAAGGCCAAATAAGTATTACAATAATTGAAACAAAGAATAAAAATACTTGACCTTTGGCGACAGTTGCATCCTGTAACAATGGAACATACTAATACTTGACAATGTGCCAATTCGTGGGTGAGTGACCTACGTACATACATTGACAATAAGATTCATTACATTTTAAAACAACACTAAGTTATAACTACAAATTTATTTGAAACCTTTAAAAACAAGGAAGTACTCAATATATTATTGTTAATTGTGTTACTTTTTAAATTCATTACAATTATTTTCACCATATGGAGACTAACAACAGTTTTTTTAATTTACAACCTGACTTTATTAAATACAAAATTAGAAAGAAAACAAAACCTAATTTAATAAAAGTATAATTATTATTACTAAAATGAAAAATAATACAGACAGTGGCAAATCTAAAACAGTCTTTATGGTAATGCTTCGTCTGAAAATGGTTGAAGCAAAAACGATGAAATTTTAGCTGAATATGTTAATAATTATGAAGTAATATATAATAAATAGTAATATATACTAAAGAAAATTATAGAAATAAATCTCGAAAGGAGCAATATTTCATTTTGTAAAACACGTTCGACACGCCATGACGTCACTTAAAATTTTATGAATTCATTAATCAAATTGGCGTCATATAAATACTTTATTTTATGTATTTAATTACAATTATAGTTTAATCACTATCAATAGACTGCGATAGTGTAGATGCGTATGAAATTTCAGACACCAATAATTTAAATATAAATCAGTTCTCTAGTATCCATAATACAAGATTTAAATGGATTAGGACTAGAAGGTGTTATGTATTGTACGGTAATTGTAATACAAGTACGATTACTAAATATATCCTGATTGGCAGTGGTTTTAATTTTTGAGTAGGAAAATGTATTCCTTTTACAGTCTAATTGGAGTCAATTAATTCTTACTACCGCGTACTTTATCTGCACAGACCCTTTCAGATACGGCTACTCAAATAGATTGCAAGATAACGTCCCTTTTAAATCTGATTAGCTCACGTAACGTGTTTGCCGTGGAACGTGTTTATTTCACATTTAAGCAAAAAAAAAATACACCCCTTATATATTTTTTACACATTTATAGAGGATACTCATCTGTTCGAGATACGGTGACTGATTAAATTATTTCTTTTTGACAAAAATTAAGTGTAATTTTTTTATAAACTACGTTGATGAACACTAATTTAAGTTAAACATTTATCTCTATTTTTTGTAATTATGTAGAGTCTCATTTGAGAGAACAGAATTTCTCGTCAGATCTTCTGCTAAAACTATATTCTAAATCGGCATTACATTTGTCTTATCATTAGTGCCAGTAGAAGACTTATATTGGTTTATTTAGACATGAATTATTAACAGAATTAATTACAGTACCAATTATTTCGTTTAAAAAATTAAGTTTAAGAGTGCGAGGCATCTCTCTATGCAAGATTTTTAATATATGATAATGGAATGATGTCCTTTTTTGCGCCAGCGGTTTACGCTGACAGGGCACCAGTGGAGAATAATAAGAAGAGGTCAGATCAGTTAGGGAATCGTATCAAATTCACTAGGAATTTATCACGATAATTTCCAGGGGGAGCTGTGAGGAGGTCAAACTGACATGGTACATTGCTAACAATAAGGTCCACATTTTATAACAATCCTCTTCCCTACTTTCATATATATGTACCTTATATATAACTTAAAGAATCTTCTATAAGTATAGGGGTTACAAGTTTGCTCATAAATTTTATTGAACCTCTCATAATAAATCCACAAGCTGACCCTATGATTTCTATGAGGGCTTTATTTTTATTTAGTGGCTTGACTTTAAGGAATGTTAGTTCTCTAAAGAAATATATTTTTTCTTAGTTGTTACGTGACTTCGTATTCGTATACATACAGCTGTAGGTACACGTGTGATAATCAAACAACAAAAAAAACATCTATATGACCTATTGAACATAGGTATATATGACGGCCTCGGTGGTGGAGCGGTTTAGCAGACCGCTTTACTTCCGTTAGTTGCGGATTCGATTCCTTGCACAGTACAAACATTTGTTTTCGTGAATATGACTGTTGGTATCGGTCTGGGAGTTTTCTATGTACATTATCTATGTATTTACAAAAAAAAATTAAGTATTTATATTAGTTCTCTAGTACCCATAAAATGAGCTCTGCTTAGCTTGGGATAGAGGGCGTTTTATAAAATATCTAGGGGTAATCTTTAAATTTCAATTGACCATACAAATAAAAGCTTAATAATAACTTTTTAGTTATTTAAGCTCATTGCTGTACAAAACGTTGTTACGAAGACAGTAAAATCTTATCTTATCTGTATGATTAAATTATGTTATTGTCTTTCTAACTACGTGTTTCCCTCTTCCTACAATTCTCAGGCTTTTAATCGGACATAATATAGAACGACCATCAGTACATTAAAGAATTTCGTGATAGAACTTCCTTCATAGAAGGTACTACACCTGATGACGTGTTGTTATTACAGTCTATCTCTATTCACACTATCTCACACTTAATACAATTCATGTTTACTAGAATTAGACTGTAAATTAAAATTATTAGAGTTGATATGCCAAAATTTGTAAATTTTGTATTTATACCGTATTGTATTAGGCGTTGGATATATATACATATCTTCACACCAGATTTACAGGTGATATTTGATCAAGATATGTGATCATGAGGACTTTCCTCGGTACCTGCATCCTTCCTTAGTCACATTATAGTACAATAGTATAATTTATATATACTTTAAACAATTATATAAAATTTGTATAATTCACCGACTAAATGTTTGCAAATAGAGTTAGTTGACTTTATGTCAGTTCAAGGGAAACATATTCACATTACGTATAAATGCAATAGCTAATCTAAAATTTTAATTATATCCTTCGATAATATTTGCAATACCGAGACAACTATTATGTCTATGTTGCTATATACCTATTAGTATTTATTGTCAATTATCTCGAGTGATAACAAATTTGTATTGAATAGTTTTATCTTGTAAATTAAACCAATATAGTAATTTTTCTCACTCTTTTTCTTGACTTAATCTATTTTGAATACACTAACAATAAGTAGTAAAATATATTTTTTTATATAGAATAGTAGGTTGAAGCCTATACAATATTTGGCTAAATGTACATAAGTCTATTTTAACTGTGTGGTGTACATTAATAGGATGTAATTGCATACCATTACACTTACGATATGATGTACAATACCATTACCTAAGTATGTATTTTTGTAACAGGTTGAAGAGATTCTGCAGACCCTTGGCTTATGGGATCACAGGAACACAAGATCTGAACGTCTATCTGGGGGGCAGTCTAAGCGACTGTCTGTTGCGCTGGAGCTCGTCAACAATCCACCAATTATATTTCTTGATGAACCGACCACGTAAGTATTTTTTTATTTCGTTTATTTGTCATTAGAACTTTGTGATATTATTCCTTAATAATACTGATTCCTTAAAAGACATAGATATTAAACCCATGTCCTTTAAGGAATCTGTATTATAAAATTAAATTTTCTAGATTCACCCCATGACTCTTTAAATTACCAGTTCAGTCAATCAAGATGAAGTGTACGAAGAAGTTATGAATACATTAAACTAGTTTAAAATAAAAAGAAGGAGGGCATATACTCTATTCATACCATACAGGAGATCTAGTTTGAATATATACAATGAGAATATCGTAATTACGTATCTATATGTATAGGTATATCTACTATTGCCACATGGGTAACTAAAAATTATTTTACTTTAGAACATGCACACTTCACACATCCACTGATATGCATGATGTAACGCAAAAAAAAAACATCAAAAGCCAAGTTTTCGATTATTTTCCTGTTTTTCTTAAACTTTGTGGTCAAACTAGTTTGATGAGGATTTATTTTTTTAAAAAACAAACTTAATTCTTTTTTATTGTAACTACTTTTTCCCTGTGACTTTATGTATTTTTTATACGGATTTGTGTGTATTGTTATACTGGCATTCGATAATATAAAATGACCTCTCCATGTCAAATGCGCCTACCATGTACTTAATTAGTTAATAAAATCATTCCACGTTAAACCACCTCCAACGCTATTTCATTCCAATCATCAACACATTTGGTCCACAAATGTTATTTATGCAAAAATACCAAGTGGACATTTAATGGATACATAAAAAGTGTCCAAAGTCATTCCAATAATAGCCAAACAAATGAAATACCACGCAATATTTATTTTAATTAATCAATTTTACCGAAGTTTATTTAAATAAAATTAGATGTTATTTAAGAACATCATATAAACTCAAAACTCAAACTAAATTATTTATTAATTTACTGTTCGGCTTCTTGAGCACGTCAAATTTTTATCAATATCCCAACCGTCCATATATTGTACTAGCTAGCAAATACCCGCGACTTCGGCTTATTTTTAAATAAAAGATAGTATATAATAGATATAATAAAAGATCGTCGCCGTTTACTAAAATTCGTTTAAAAAATTACAAATAAATAAACAGAAACAGTTTCGCATTTATAATATTAGTATGGAGTTGTTGTAATTAGCAAATTGTATAAATGGCATACCGAACCCATTTCCAATTTAGATATTACATTGACATAAATCATAACCTCTATTTGCTTTGCCACCTGAGGACTCTAATCCCCAACGTACGAAACCTTTATTAATATATAACACCACACATTATATATAAAAAAATGTTACCGGAACAAGTTATGTAATACAAGTGTAAAAAAAAACAATTAGTAACGGACGCAATAACAGCGATAATCCTGGTTATCTGCAAAAGAAAAACCATGGTTCAGAATGAGTAATTGCTACAATTTATTTCATCCTTCTTAGCTCTCAAATATAAATAAGACTTAAGGGAGAAAAACTGAATACCAAGAATGCTTTATTATCAACTGATAACAAAAATCTACAACAATAAAAATACTGTTATACCTACATCTAAACTAATATTATAAACGAAATAGGATTTTTTTATAACAGATTTTAACATTCAGCTCTATAAAGCTATATTATGAGCTACTAACGTATACAGAATTTTATTTTAATATCAATCTTACAGTTTCTAAATGTAGATATGTGAAATCATCAGGTCGAATCGCCAGTGTAAAATATGTTTTTAGATTCGGTAAAAATCAAGATATGGGCATGTCAGGTTAGTCAGCATAATGATGTATCTACATCGTATATGTATACTATATTTGTATAATTGAGTATATAATCGAAATGTAGTATTTAGGTCCAAGCAATATTTTCTCATACAGTAATTGCTGTGATTGTGGGACAGGCGCGGTCGTACATAATACATATTTGTAAGCGCAATCTTACATTTGATGTTATTCGAGAGAGCTTACCTGACATGGTTGAGTTTCCAAAGCAAAAAAAAACTTTTATTGAATATTTAATTCAATAAGGACTTAGTCCTCAGGAATGACAATACATGAGAGGTACCTACACCATACGTCACATTGTATTTTTTATGTCCATGATGGTATTTGTTTTAATTATAAATGTGTCTGTCATTATACTATCCACCGTGAGTTTGTTTACCATGACATAGAAAAACAAATATACATTTTTGTAGTCTATTTCTATTAACTTGGTTTTAAATATTTTTATGTAAAATACATACCTACATTTAATAATAATAATCTCTGGACAATTCACACAACGCCATTTAGACCCAAGAAAAGCTAGCTAAAGCTTGTATTATGGGTATATAACTAGATAACTGATACAAATACATAGATATTATTTTTTCGTAAATACATACATTTTATACGTAGAAAACACCCAGACATAAATACAAATGTTTGTGACGTGCGAGGAATCGAACCCGCGACCATCGGACGTAAAGCGGTGTACTAAACCGTTATACCAACGAGGCCGTCAATATTTTTTATCGGGCATATCGCTTGTTTTACACAGAATAATCAAAATATGGAATATACATAGATCTATGCATATCCTTAATATGAATGTATTTAACCATTACTATAAATATAGTTTATCTCAAGTCGGTAACGTGTACTGGCATTGTCCTCTATTGTAGCTGCTATTGAAATACTACCACTACAATATACACTACGATTATAAGATCTATTTAATAGATATCTGGGTTTACTTTGTAAAGGGGCAATTAGACCTCACAGTTAATAAAAAATAATCATAATTAAATAAATAAAAATTGCACTATTACGATAAAAACTCCTTCATTGTATTCAATCCTCCTTATTACGAGTGTTATAAGACACTCAAAGATTTGTAAAACAACTCAGATATTTTGTGATTGTTTGTATTTATGTATTATGTATAATGTTAATATAAAAATATATATATAAATATTAAAAAAAACTCATATATTAAAAGATATAATTAATCATAATAGCTATAAAATAAAGACTAAATTAAGGACCTTTTAACTTTGTAGTCTCATGGAAACTATAATCAAATTGAGAATAAACGTCTTTTGAACTAACTTACCAATGTATAGTTTACTTAATGTTACTTAAAAACTGAGTAGCTTATGTATATATACACTTATCACAGATAAATGTTTTAATATTACATAGAGTTTACATACATAATGTAGATATCCACTGTGAAAGGGATTTGGAAACTCCCGCGAGAACAGCAGATAACAATGGATATAACGCGTTACGCCGCGGAACCCAAAGGGGTTTCTTCTAGTATAAAATATCTCATCTAAAACATAAATGTAAAAAGGGGCAAATCTCATGTACACATAAAATACATTGTCAGTTGTAATAAAACTGGATGCTACCTATACAATATCTATACTTGGAAGGGAGGGCTGAAGAGTAAGTAATAGAAATTAATTAATATAAATAATACTAATAATACCCGAATTCATTGCCATCTCTATATGCCGTCCCTTCTTGATACTATCCTGAAAATACTTATTCTATCTGTGATGAATTTACTCATCATTTACCACTATTCTATCATCATCTAAAAAAATATTTGAAGCATCTTCAAATAGTCATGAAGTATGTTGTGTACGTAGGATATTAACAGGATTTTTTTATAAGTTTATGCGAATCCCAATTCTGCAAATATTACCTTACCTAAAAGTGGCAGGTAGAATTTTTGTCTCCAGGCCTATACCAGTCTGATATAGGCCTGGTATATATTTTTTCCTTTTTATGTAACACTACCTTTCTCTTTTTCCTATTGTCGATCGAAAACCAGTCAATCCCTGACCTTTAGTTGATGGCAGATGTGAAGTATAAGATTTTCCTACCTGACTACTAGTGAAATAAGTTCAACAAAATTACATCTATACAATGAGAAGTAATTGGCTTAATCACGCTGGTCGTAACATTTTATTGATCGTAAAGCTGGGCCGTGTTTAGAAAATTGAAACATGCTTCGACCTCAAGACGGAATCAGAGTCACAAACCGAAAATCCAATTGCAATAAAAATGCTACAGTCGGCCTAGTTGATCCTTCAGGGAGTTTGGTGGCACGTAGAGACTACGATTCACGGATTTGATTAAACTACGTAGTACCTATAAGTTGTATAATAATCTATCTATTTTCGTACCCAAACGCCAGGATAAGTGGTAAATGACTGCATCGATAACGCTACTATGCACTCGAGAAAGGCGATCGGCTGCTTTGCCCTTACTCATTTCTATGATAGCGGTCGATTTCTTATCAATAGATTCGCCCAGGATCCCCCTATCTGGTGATATAGTTAATTAATCTATCGATTGGCTCACTAGTACTTGCACATGATAGATCTGTGAGGTCTGGTGCGATGGTCTTTCTTATTCTTAATGTAGAAACCTATACTGTTACCAAATCCATTCATTAATTTGTACTTCTAGATCATCAGATGCCTTGTAAACAAGTTATATAAACATGTCAATCGGCAAATAAGCTTCGCTACTGCACGCAATTTAAAAACAATACTTTATGGTATTTACTTTGTAGTATAGCAAGACTATTTAAAAAAATCTTGCTATACCACACCGCTCTTTTAAAAGTCAAAACTGTTTCTAAGTATTTTCATTGTATATTAACATATATGTATATATATATATATATATATATATATTTATACGTATAATTAGTAAAAATCACGGGATCTTACCGCGTTTTATATTTATTTGCTGAGTTCCCGATATTTCGGTAGTGTTTCAACCACCATAACCATGGTGGTTGAAACACTACCGAAATATCGGGAACTCAGCAAATAAATAAAAAACGTGGTATGATCCTGTGATTTTTACTAATTATACGTATAAATAATGACCGCGTCAAGTTTAAAACAGTATATATATATATATTAGCCTATTAATTGAAAAACTTATTAAAAAGACTATATTTAACGTTATTTAGTTATGTCGTTTGATTTAATTATGGTTAATAAACCTTTGTTTGTAAATAATAAAATTAATATATAACCACATAAACCAATAACGAACAGATTTGTGATTGTTATTCCATTTTAATGGGAAATTTGGCCAACTCGAGTAACTTCGGTAACTGCTTCTGTCAAAATCAATGAGGATCATTTCAACCGATTGAATCTGAAATTGTCGTCTCAGTTATTAATCGAATACAAACCTTATCTCATTTAAAATAAAGAAGTGACTTCTGAAACCTTTGCTTCGGGCATTTTTGATTTATTTGATCTATAGTGCGAGAATAGGGTTATTTTCGCTAAATTTCCAAATAACTTAGAGTTATATTGTAGTGAAACATTTCAATATTGGACTTTCGCAGACTATATAATTTCTCTATCTTAGACCATTACAGAACTTTGCAACTAACTATGAATATAAATTTTAGTAATATCTGCTATAAGTGTCATGTCTGCCATGATTGTTTTAAAAACATTGAATATAGGATCCTGGAACCGAGAGGGGGAGTAGATCATGTATCTCGTATTATCATGAAGGAGTCAGTAGTCTCCGAAACCGGCGCTAATGGACTCTATTACAAAATTGAATAAAATTTTCTTAAATTTAGAATAAGAAACAATGTCTACTATATCTTTACCAAATCGATTTGTACGCATTACAATTTTTTTGATACTTTAGACTATATTTATTTTATACTGTAGTCTAACCAACACATCTTTGTTTATCAGCTATTAGGCCATTTTGTTCTCACGTCGCGGATAGATCAGTACAACATTTTCTTTATGCGTCAATTCGGTAAAAATAGTAAATAAACGTACAGGAAACATGAGAATATCAGTTCATTTATAAGAACAAGACCCTCGTCATACTCGTAATAACTTACGCTACAATAACGCGAATAAAACTAATATAGGGATGATCGATTAACATCGATGTCAAGTCATCAAAATAATATAAAAACATCGCTGTTAAGTCACTGATGACATCGTCATAAATAGCCCATCACAATCCGATAGATGATGATCTATTCCTTAGCTCCTTACAAAAGTCATTCGAAACGCAAAATGACGTGATATCAAATATCAGATAAGGCCAAAATGAAACATCAATGTTTTCTGATATTACTGTTTCTCATTCGATGTCGACATCGATATCAATATCGATATTTTCCTAATGGCGATCATCCCTAGACTAATAAAAAAATAATGTTGGAACTTCACAAAACCAAACTTGTAACGTATGGCAACAGTAATAAACCCTAACAGCCCACGTTCGCACTTCGAAACATAATCAAATATACTCAGAATTGAACGTTCTAATGTATTAGGCAGTGTAGATGTGAACTAAATGAATACGTGACGATTCGATTGACGGTAAATGACACAAATTCCCTTAACTAAAGTTCCAAATTGGAGAAAAACAAACATTTATTTAATCTATTTTGACATAAGTGGTAGGCTATATTTTTAAGAGTGGTAATCAAGTCTATAGAACGGATACTATCTCCGTCGGACTGGCGCAATTATATTGAAACCCTTTTTTTCTTTTTTCTTTTTTACAAATTTGAAAACTTATATATTTACATATCATATAAAACTTATATGGCATTAAGCTTGCCTTTTGTGCACTTTTTTTGTGCAATAAAGAATACATAAAAAAACTTTTTATTTTATTTGATGTGTTTCATTAATAACGTAATATTTGCAGCCGTCTACAGTACTATTTACTAATATGGCTACGTGGTGTACAGTTGCAGTAACGAATTCTAAATGAGTAGGTACCGCCCGTGGTTACAACACAGATGTACATTCGTGGTAATTGTGGTTTTGCGTCTCTTCGTAAGCAATTTCAATTATTCAGCTCGTTGTTTCAGCCGACTTCAAAGACAGGAGATTCTCAAATCCACTGTATTTTTTATATATCTATAAATTTTAAATCTATTTTGTAAATATTATATACTTGCTGTGCCCGCAGTTTTACCCGCGTGAAATTTTAATATTAGACTATATATTTTCTTGAAACTTATATTTCTAAATATAAATTTCAAGAAAAGATATAGCCTATATGTTATTGTGATGCATAAGCTATATTACTGTAAAGTTTCATCAAAATCCTTATAATTTAATAATTTATAATATGTATCTATAGACGTAGCAACTATGAAATATACATAAAACTGCAAAGATTGTAATTCTTACGTTTTTTAAAAATAAGTACAATAATCTCAAACAATTAATAAACCATAAAGTATATTATACATATATTCCAAAAGGAGATTCTAAAATCGGTTATATTAAGTGACCTCATCTCCACAGAAGTTATTTTTACTATTCTTTTTGAAAACCGTACCATTTAGGTACTTAACTTTATTAATCCTATACAATTTTATTTATAACGAGATAGACTGACAGTTATTTACCGTAGGAAACCTAATATATTAATATAATGATTGACGAAAGAATAATTCTAAATCTTTAAAGTTTAAAGACTGTTACGCAAATATCACGAAGAGCGAAATGTTCGTGTTATTCTGGAACTTTCCAGACATTTGCGCACATCTGCAAGTCAGCTATTAAAGTGTGCATTGTTTTATCAAGTACGTAAGCGAAACTTTGTTTATCGAGACCAGATTAAATTTAATTCAATTGTTTTTAACCCACTCTAACATAGACTATATTTTCAATTCAACTTTTCATAGAAAGGGTTTACTGTATTATAATTAATTAGTAGTAATTTATAGATCTTAATTTTACTCGAAAAATTGTTAAATTGTAATTATATCAAGATTTAACCGTACTGTTGTATTTTTCGTTTTCGTAAATATAGTATATTTTATGTAATTGATATATTGCACAATTATACTGCATGTTACTTTTTTTTCTTTTATTATAACCCGGGAACTTTAAATACAAATATAATGCAATTATGTGACAAATAAATGACCTGAGTAAATCGATTACTCCTGTGAGCTGTCTATATTAAGAAATACAATATGTAACCGCTCTGTCAATAGAAATATATATTAGTTATTCCTTTCCAAATAACATTACCGATTATTAAGAAAAGTGAATTGAAGCAGTTTAGAGAAAATTTATTTACTTTTTTTTTGTTAATTTCAGAGGGTTAGACATAGTGTCAATCCGCCAGCTGGTAGTTCTGCTACGGCTGCTCTCCCGACAAGGGCGTACCATCGTCTGCACTGTCCACCAACCATCTGCCTCGTTGTTTACTCTATTCGACCGAGTGTACATCCTTGCGAGAGGTCTTTGCTGTTACCAGGTAAATATCTATAATTCATATTCGAAATTTATTTCCTATTTCTTTTACTCCTTTATCCATACTGATATAAACGTGAAAATGTCTGCTTTTTTCACTTCTAAACAACTGGGCTAATATTAATAAAATTAGTAAAAAGGAAAGCAGATGAAATTGTGGGTAATAACTAGCATTTTTAAATGATTTGACACGAGAAATAACAACAACAAGACAACGAGAGAAAAACTGTACACTAACAAACAGAAAGTATTACGTAGATAACGTATAGACTTAGACACAAATTTCGACGGAAGTATTCTATAGACAGGCATCGATATGGGTTTCAGACGGAACATTACCAACGTTCAGATCATCTAATGTCCTGGATACCATAAAAGAGCAGGGAAACAAAAAACCGTAAAAAATAATTCGTGCCGCGTAGTTATGGCAGCTGTTATCACGAATATCATCAGTATATCGAATAATTCATCGGAATCATAACAACGTGCCTACGTCGGTATATCGGAGTGGAATGTGGCGGAAATTCCGCTACGTGCCGGCCGCGATAAAATCCAAATATTACGGAATACGGGCCGCGAAATACGATGGTTTTTTTCAATTAAACTTAAATGTGTTTCAGTGAAATGACCTCGGATCACGAACATTATTATTTTATCTCTTCTGTTTTGTATACACAATATATCGATGTTTCCCTTTTATTGTCACTCGTATTTTGTGTGTGTGCGGCACATAATTTAAATTTATGGGCACTTCCATAATGTTATAATATTCAATGAACGAAATACCTAAATAATTTCAATTATACTATACATAAAGTTATGAACTCGTATATAATATCAGTATTTATTCTGTATAATAAAAACATTCACTGATTGAGTTTATTCGTATTAGCAACTTTAATTGACCAGTTTGTAAATTATTATATATCCTAAATAGGTATATGCCAATTTTCATCTCAAATAGTTGAGCTCATTAAAGAGTTAAGTGTTAAACAATAAATAGACTCACATTTTTATATAATGTGGCACAGGACTTGATCGCAAATATTGGCGATATTTAGTTATCAGTAGGCGCACCAGTACCAAAATCACGAGGAATGAAAGTCACCATAGTCGAAAATACTCGGACAGTTTATGATAAATTTATCTGTTCAATTCCAAATCCTATATAAAGTCTAAGGAACTAAACTTTAGTAGTAGTATGTAGTTTATAATATTGTACTACGAATTTCATAACAATACATAAATAGTTTTTTTTTATTGAGGGATTTGGTCTATCTAGGTGTTAAGACCTGTAACGACCTACATAGATCTATTGTGCTCGCCCTTTTTTTAACGTTCGCTACCTAGACCCGTCAGAGACAAGAATTGAAGAATATTCTTAGGAGCGGTGGTTTTTATCTTATCAGGATTACTATCAGTAGAAACTCCTAATAAATAAGGTTTTTAATAGTTAGTTAATAGGTTTTAACAAATAGTAATTTACTTAAATACCTAATCATAGGTTAATTATCACAACCAACAAATATTTGTATATATGATTGAAATTATTAACCATATTGACCATTAAGCGGCAACTAAATTAAATAATAATTAATGAGTAGTATTTAAAATTAAAATCCCATTCAACTGAAAATTTCAGGCACTGCATAATATATCGTTTATAAGTCCTAATTGATAATTAATATTTTAATTAAAAATAAATTATCAGCATGATAGTGAATTCTAATTATTTTCGGATATTATTTTCTTCTAACATTAGTATCTTTTAAATATTAATACTAATTTACCCTAACAAATTATTTTTTTTACTTTAATGAAACTTATGTAATAAAATCAGTTGTAATGTGAAACGTTATAAGTTGCAAGTTATTGCGTTTTTTCTTTGTTTATATTACTTATATTGCGTACAATAATATTTTTTATAAGTTTTATACCATTTTGTATTATGGCAACTCTCTGTAGACCGCCGTTATAAAGTCGACTTTGTTGTAATAATAATTAGAAAAAATCTCATAAATCATAATGAAAGATGAACACTTTATGACATCACTTGTATCCGCCTTCAACGCATCTACCATGAACCCAAGCATTCTAGATCTCCCCGAGACGGTAAGTAATAATACATTCACACAGTTAACAATTTAAATTTGATCATTTTCGCTTCGATGGATAAAGAAAGAATTAAAATAAATTTATTTGATACACATAACAATAATTTTTTTTATAAAAATTGATATCCTATCAGCATTTCGTCGCATTCATCAAATCAAATTCAGAATTTGAAGAATTTGTATTTTGTCAACCCACACCGTGGTGTGTAGAAAACCCTAGTATTAATAGATACGTAGTTTCAAATGGCTTTAATATTTTATGTATATTTAGAAAATATACGTATAAGTCGGTATATCGTAAAGTAACTCTCCTAAAAGTAATATATTTTCAAGTATCTACATATATGACCAAACCCTAAATATATATAATATTCTTTCCACCATTGATTTCATTGATTTGCAATGATTGGCCGATATACAAGTAACTTATTAAAGTGTAGAAGCGTAATAAACATTTATATTATTAATTTAATTGTGATTTACAAATAAATTATGCATATTTTTACTTTCTGCGACCAAACTCGAAAGTAACAACCGTTTAACTATCAGACCTACTCGTATATTCGTATGTGTAAACTACCTACGTGACAAACAAAGTTCGTACATTCAATTTCGCATACAAAACCATCGAGTTTTATTTACACGGGAATACAGTAAACAACAAATGTAAATAGAACAGAAAACAGTATTCGAGTAAGGATTAATGTCAGATTATATATAGCAATATAGACGCATTTATCGTAAACACATCAGCGAAAGAAATTTTACTTTTACTTCAGTACACCAAATACAGTTATAGTACTTTAGGCTGTGGTACTGTGTACTTTAGGCGGAAAAAATGTACGCGATGTTAATGTAATTTAACCTGAAATCGTTTTCTGCCAAATAATAAGAGAATAATCATGAAATTAGAAAACCCCTTTTGCCGTGGCTCCTCAATTCCAGAACACATCCGTTACCATCTCTAAGAGTATTCTCTAGTACTGTTGACTTCCGCAGTCATCTGGTAGAAAAGGTAAAGCTGGCGTCCAAGAAGCTCAGTGTGCTCAATAGAACGAGGCGGTACTTCACTGCGGACCAGAGACTTCTCCTATATAAGTCACAGGTTCGGCCGCACATGGAGTACTGCTCTCATCTTTGGGCGAGAGCACCTGGATACCAGCTCGGTCCTTTTGACTCGGTTCAGAGACGTACTATGAGAATTGTCGATGATCCCAAGCTCTCTGGCGGTATCGAGCCACTTAGCTTGGGGCGAGACTTCGCTTCGCTTTGTGTGTTTTACCGATCATACAACGGACTGTCTTCTGAGGAATTGTTTGACAGGGAATTCATCCTCATACGCTGGAACCTAAGTGGTCCCGAACAGTGCGATTTCAGAGGAGGTTCCTCCCGCGTACACTTAGATTGTGGAATGAACTTCCTGCCGAGGTTTTCCCAACCCCTGGTGTTTCTGGCGTTCATAGGCTTCGATAACCATTAACCATCAGATGGGCCGTATGCTTGATTGCCACCATCGTAGTATAAAAAAAACAAAAAGTTACCTACATATAGGTACAAAAAGTACAATGAAATTAGCTATTTCTTTCTTATTTTAGTTCTTAAAAAATAATTCTATTTTCGAAACTTTAATTATAAGATTAGTCAGATTTTATTACATTAATCTTAATTATACACAGATTACAGAGAGATATGGCTATTAATGTAAAGAACATTCAACTTTACAATTTTAAGCCAAGTTACAGAATAACCAACCCCCGTTGCTGAATAACCCGATACTTAACCACTTACAAATTAATTCATTCTTAGTTTCTTACTTAAACTCAAAGGAACTTCGCCGGTTTTCAAGTCGGTCGCAATAGCACACGTACCTACACCGCGTCCAATTCAACTCTTGATTAATATTTTATTTCTTTTCAAGTTCTAAGTAGATACAGCAAGTTCACTTTTATATTTCCCTTTTGATATTATTGTAACTTTCAAATGATATCATGAAAAAGGTGGTTCTTAGATCTTCGATTCTGAAATGCAAAACGGAAACACGGTTAATGTATTGCAATTTTATTTTGTTTTAGTATTGGTGAAGATATCTCAAAAATAGAGGTTGTTAACGATTATTTATGCAATTGATAAAGATTGATAATGATATCATAAAAATAAAGAACGCATTTTGTTATGAGGAACTGTGCTCTGAAACCCGAACGGAACTGGGACGGGCAATAGTCACATATAAATCGTACACTCGTGACAGTATTTTCTATAAACCCCAGGATCAAAATTTATTCTTATTTTTATTCTGCAATAAATGAAACATCTATTGTCATTGCGGAAGTTTACTATTATTTTAATCAAATATGTGCACTTTTTTTACCTTTTAAACCAAAACAGTAAACGCTAATTCTTTTATTAAATTAAATACTTCTCAACGATTACTAATGTAGAATTGTCTATTGGCTATTATGAAATTTAACGCGTTATATCAAAATATAATCCCGCATATATGTGTCACATTAAGCTCACCATTCATCAGCCTTTGTGATGTCTATTTTAAAGTAACAGAAACATAAATAAGACACTCTTTGATCCTTTCATTAATTATACATATGATAATCTAAGTTTAAATTCAGATTATTTACATTACAACATGTTTTGTGAGAGATAATGAGTATATGTTTTGTATGCGGGCTTATTTTGTTCAATTCAAGTTAAACAAACGCATCTTGAGTTCGCGTAGAAAATGTGCCGTTGTAAAACACATACCTACCTAATGCTTTCTTCTTTTTCTTAAGCATCTATAGTAATTTCACAACCTAAAGTTTTCCTTAAAAAACTCGTTCTAGACTTGAATCCCAAAAAATAAACAAATACATAATTTTCATTTATGAACACTCAAAAGTGATTTCATATTTTGCTGAGCTAACCTGTATGGAACTTCCATACAGTTCAGCAAAATAAGCAAAATATGTTGCAGATCGCGATCCTATTTACTTTTCTCTTCAATTCATCCATGATCTTCATATTCAAATTTTTTCTTTTAGTTGAGTATACTCGAAACTAATAAACAGCTAACTTTTCAGTACTTCAAGGGATCATATCTCATAAAAGAGTACTTGAACTAACTTCGATTTCATTTAAAAATACCTAGTCAAACAAACCCTACTTCGAATGGAGTCCGACAAAAAAATCTTGCAAACACTTGCTACATGAAAAGGTCTGCGAAATATAATAACAATTGTCTTTATGTTGTGAGGGTCACGATTCCACAAAATTTTAATATTAGGTACTCTAAAATTTCATGAAGATTAAACTGAAGCTACAAAAAGTATATGGCCGTAAACACAAACATGATTCACTTATTGGGTTTTCTATATCTCATTTCGTTATGAAACCCAAAAAATATATAAAACAAATACTACACTGCGAGTACTTTAAGAGGCAAACTTAAATGATAAGTAGCTTTAAACTATACTTAAATCTGCTAATAATTTTCTCGATATAAATTTAAACTTAACACTAGGAAAAACAAGTTACCAGTAAAGTGACTGAAGTAGAAGTTTTCCGTTCCATCGCCTCTAAATAGCTTGCGAGTTCGTAGTGCTTCTTAGTGCGATCGTCTTTTAAATTCCACCTCCAAAACTTTTTAGCTACTTTATTGTGAGGTTTTTTTCCTCAAGAATTTACATAACATCCTGAACTTTATATTGGAGGACTTGAATATTCTTAGGTTAAAATTGAATTAAATATGTGGGCTATATTTTCACTTATCTTGTGACAAGCAATAAACAATACAATACTCAAACTAAAAACTATCATATAAATATATTATAATTCATAAATGATTTAAGATATTGTGTAAAAAAATTATACAGCGCCATCTATTCCCAAACTATGCAAAGCTTATGTTATGTATACTAGACAACTGATAAAAATACATATATATGTTTTTTATATAAATATGTACATTATGTACATAATTATACTAATTCATGTTTTAAAGAAAGATGCCAGATACTAGCGAATTATAACAATAAGTAAATTCCGGAAGCAGTATAAGGATGTACCCAAATAATAATATAGATAAATTAGTATCAAAGTATTAATTAAGAGAGTATACCACCCTTATATGGCGAAAGATGTAGAATGATGAAAGATAGAGATGCAATCTATATCCGAAAATCCATCCTTTAGAGGACACATTATTCCAGAACAACATTGCCTGTATATTATATTCATACGTATAATTAGGAAACATGACGGGATCTTACCACGTTTTATTTTATTTTATTAAGTTCCTGGTATTCAGCAGTGTTTCTACCGCCATGATCACGGGTAAAATGTAGAGTGGGTAAATGCTGAATAAATTTTATGGGCAGTCATATTCGCATAGAAAATATAGAATTAACTATTGAAATTAATAAGACCGCGAGAAATAAAAAATATACATATATATTCATATATACATAAACTCGCAAAGTTGTTAGTATCCGACAGAAGCCTGTATGGATCACTAGTATATGAAAAATGTGTTACATTATCGAGAACTTCTTATACAATAAGTAGGTAAAAACCCCTATAGCATAATAGGTTTTAAATAAATTAATGATATATAACCTTTTATATCGTGCCTGCCGCTATTCGTACCGGGGTTAGAATGATTATCCTTGAAGTTATGACAGCCTATTATTGAGCCATCATTTCACGGTGAAACGGTTAATATTAAGGGGTCTGTCAGCAGCTATTAAACGTTGATGCTTCATTCTATAAAGAGAAGTTTATATAGATGGCTGTACCATAAAGATGCTTCGACATTTCCTTTCAGATGTTTTCATATGTGACTACAATTTGTTCGAAAACCTATATGTAATCCTTCCTTATTTTTATACATTAATATATGATTTTTATAAGGAGAACAAGGTCTTCATATTTTAATGTAATCTGATATAATTAAAATAGTATTTACATATTACATAGTATACTTGTAGTCCGTAAAGGACAATAGAGGTGGATCTATATTATTTTTTATTTATTGTAGACAGATAAAAAATTATATTGCCGTAAGGAAGAGGTGAAGTTATATCCTCTGATAGACCAGCAATTATTTTATTTTTTATTATAGAAATTCATTGAAGTGACTTTATAATTCCTAGAATTAAACATATATACTAAAAACAAAATATTTGTTGTATTATGTACAGTATGTTTCTGGTATGCTTTAATATTAGAGTATTTTGTTATCATTAAACTCTATATATTATAAAGGTAAATAATCTTTAATTTGTCTATTTCTTGGTTAATAGGGCGCGCCGCCACTTCTAGTACCTTACTTAGCAGAAATGGGTCACATCTGTCCTACAACTCACAATCCTGCAGACTTCGTGCTGGAAACGCTGCTTGGAGAAGACGAGGCCCCGGCTCAACTGTCAGAACTGTGTCAGAATGGAAAGTTGTGCAGAAAATTAGACCGGATGACATTACGTGGTGGAAAGTAGGTAGACTTTGAAAAAACTTTTGTCTGTCTGTGAGGGCACAGTCTCACATCTTTCAGCCGCTAAGCTGCTTGTTTTATAAACGGTTTTGGTTGAGATGAGGCAGTAAAATTACTGGATAAGGTATGACAACTTAGTCCTCCAGAATATAAACACATGAGTGGTTTCACGCGCGATACGTGATTACGTGGCGTCGTGGCTCATGTATGTAAGCTACCATTACTTATCATCAGGTGACCCATTACCTAATTTGCCATTCCAATTCCCTACATAAAAAAATATTGGTATTGAAAGTAAAACAGAATTAATTATAGGTAATTTTGGTTTTTGAGGTTTGTACTCGCAAGAGCGAGTTTGTGCTGCAGACAAACCACTTCCACAATTTCTTCATTCCGGAGTGTCCCTCAGACACTCTTATCTGCAATCGTATTTTCAATGATTTGCTGCAGAGTATTTCGTACTTATCTGTCATGTCCCATGACATGATCGACGTATGTAAATACTTGTATGAATAAAGAATCATATAAAACCACCTCTTTGAAATTTTGATGAAATTCTCACCAAACCTGAAGTATATCTTGCTTTGCAAATTGTGTCTGGACTAGAAAAGATGTACTACTAAATTACAGGGTTCTTATATTCTATAATTCCTATTCCTATAATTTCATAGCAGACGTAACATCATATTAATTTTTAATAAGTTATAACAAATATTAATAAAATAAAACTACTAAATGTAGAATACACGTACACTACACATTTTTACTTTAAACTTTACTATCCGTGCACGCAGTTAAATTACATGCAGTAAAAATAAAAACTGTTAAAATTATAATCCACTCGGGCTTTAACTTAACAAACTTTTAGTTGCCTCCGCTAGTTCCTTGCTATAAATTTTCACTTGTTTCCAGGAAACCCGTATTACACTCAGACGAGTCCATACAAAGGATATTCGTTGAACACGTAGCTAAAGAGCAGATGCAAAAAATGGAGTTCCCTACGACCTTCCTAACTCAGTTTTTTATTTTGACCAAACGTATGTTCGTACAGACGAAAAGGAATTCGGTAAGTCATATGCTTTTATGTCTAAATTACAGCCTGTTATCCTATTTGTGTGATGAGGAAGGGGTCGTAATAGGGACTAGTGGAACCATTGCTACCAATGTCATGTCAGGTTTACCTTCACCCGGTCTGCCCTAGAAACCTTCCTGGTATATTCAGTACAACGATAGGCTGAGTGACCAGACTTCATTCTTATTCTATCATTCTCCACAAGTGCCATGCCAGCGTGTACCGTTAACGCAGGCGAGTGCCTTATACACTATATACGTTAATGAAAAAAGTATTATATTATTAATTTCAAAACTAAACATTTAGTATAATTTTCTCACAAGTTTTTTCTCCGTAACGGCTCAATTCTCACGTTTACTGATTGCCTACTTTTATACTAATTAGAGAAATTGGCATGAATAAACATAGAATATGGATCTGATGATGATCTGAATCTGTTTTTCGACAAAAAACCTAATAAAAAATATTAATGCATTTTTCTATTCCAGATAAGTCTGTGGATACAATTATTGCATCACTTGGTAACAGCTTTTCTTCTTGGTAGTATATTCTTCCATGTAGGTAACGATGCGAGCTCGCCGATAGTCAATTTCAAATTCTGTTTGAGCTGCCTTGTTTTCTTCATGTATACGTACATCATGTTACCTGTTTTACTATGTAAGTATAAAATTAACTATTTTTATTATGTTCGATTGACCGGGATATTCTGAGTAACAAAGAAAATTATTTATTTCCTTCTTCCTCACAAATATCAAGGATCTTTTTAAAATTTCATGACAATAAGTTAATTTGTTGGTCGAATTCTTGTAACACCAAGTAGGTCATTCATTTTACCAGTGACCAGTAACATCGTAATTAGATTTTATAAGCGGAACCGATTTTCAGTTTCTATTGCAATTCTATTTTTCATAATAGTTCTCTTATAACATCAAACTTCTAAAACCATGAAACATTTGGAATACAGCTTTATTTTATGTCGCATATTATGAATATTTCTAAAAATCTCACAAGAACGGGAAATAAACGGTTCCACATAGAAAATCCGTTCGAAATAGTTAGGTTCAATATAGCTGTGAGATTCTAAATTTTAATGAATATACATGTATCCGCTTATCATGAAAAGGTAGGAGAATCCATTCAACTTTTATATTTTAACTGTTTTTATTTTGATTAAGCAGGTAAATGTTTGCTTTTAGTTCCAATGGAAGTACGTTTATTGCGCCGTGAATACTTCAACCGATGGTATAGCCTCAAGGCGTACTACGCAGCACTTTCCTTCTCAACTTTACCTGTTATGGTAAGTTTATGAATGAATCAAAGTACATTGAAGGCGTAGGAATAAAATTCAACTATATGCCCGAAATAACAAGAATTATTTATCCTTATTTTATCGTGACCGTTAATGTTCTGTGTACACTGAATATCGTATGTTATTTTTTATTTTATGACAAAACAACGTATGATGCTACAATCATGAGGAATCAGAGAGAATGTTTTACGTAAACTCAAAGACATGAAGAAATTACTGTAGTTGTCAATAGTTGATTGCTTATACTATTCCAATAATATTATGGTTGGTTATACTAGTCCAATAATTGCTCTTTTCATAATACTTGTGTATTATCATTATTTATGTATAATAATACACATACGAGTATGTAAAGATTTTCACGATAAGGCACCAACAAAGTGCTAACTTAAGGAGTCTTCATACTATAGTTTTCTATACCTTACCTTTTTCATATATACGTAGGTATATTATTCTTAAGAAGATAATGACAACTCCCTGCTTACTAGACGTAAATTTTAAAAAAATATATAAAAGATCACAACAGATACCTATCTGTTAAGTTTACCTTTTTATACCTATTTTATATCTATGTACTAACGTAGTGAAAGGACGGTCCAATCGACTTAATGGTAGATACGAATATTTATCTAGTAGTTTAGCCAGGTGCATCATCCTTAAAATAGCTACTATATACGTGAACCCTGGAGGCACGTTCCATGCTGCGCAAATATTTATTCCGTATTCGGTTAGAAGTTTTACTTGATGTTCTTTGTCAATATGTATTTAGAATGTTAGCACTAATTGTTGGTACTACTACTACTACTACTATTGTACCTATATATGTTCGACATAAAAGAACCGACTTGAATCAGAAAATAGTATCAACATGAAAGCCAGGTAGAACATGAAACTTAAACATTAGAACCAAGAAATAAATTACTGCACAATTTGTATGAAGTATATAATGTATAATATGATCAAGGTTTCACTTTTCTGCTTGTTGAAAAGGAACCTAACCGTAAGGAATTAGCGAATATAACATCGGAAGTGATTAACTAGAGAATAGGTTCTACTTTAAGCATGGTCGTGCATCTTTTTTTTTACACAATCGAAATAGCAAATACATTGACAGCGGTAATCGTCACTTAGACACATAAATAGTTCTACAATATCCCGTTATAATGACGCTTATGCGTTATTCCTTAAGACTATGGTGCCATGCCTCAGATTCTGTATTTTCACTGCCTTTTCTCCTCATGCGAATGAATAATAATTAATGTGAAATAACTTAGTCATATACTGATAAATAACTTAAATGCATCGTATTTCCAGGTGATATTCAGTCTATTATTCACTGCCATTTCCTATACAATGTCTGGGCAGCTACTGGAGTGGAACAGATTCGTGCTTTTCTCTATAAGTGGCATATTGACAGCAATATGCTCTGAAGGGCTCGGACTTGCTGTTGGATCAGCGTTCAGTGTGACTGTAAGTGTAGTTTTTTTAAATATATACAAACTGGTTTTAACACGTATAATTTTATGGTAAACTAGCTGTACACGCGACTTCGTCCGTGCGGAATTCAACTTTATTTTTCTAAAATAAAAGTAGCCTAAGTTACTCCTTTTTACATCAGCTACCTGCTAAAGAAACCGTCTAAATCGGTCCAGCATTTTCAGAGATTAGCCGGAACAAACAGATAGACAAAAAATGTACAAAATGTTATTTTAGTATATGTACCGTATTTATATTCATATGCATGGAGTAAAAAACAATTTTATTATGATAAACAGACTCTCCAATTTTATGTATTTATCTCTCTCTCGACGTTTCGACTAGGTTGCACTAGCCGTAGCCACGATCATCTGTGGCCGTTACCATGTCCATAAGAATATATTACCACACTAACAGGGGACTTTGTAGGTATAGGATTTTAAAAATTTTTCGTCTCTTGAACTAATCAATTGAACTTTATTCCCATATTAACCTCTTACAATTCTTGAGATATAATAGTTAGGTATGATTGAAATATGAAACTGATGTTCTTTGACCGGACAAACAGCCACTTTATGCGTCCGGATCTAACCTTTAGATAAACATATAACATTAAAATATACGTAACGTCAAAGCATTCATTCATTCATATACACGCACATATACATTTCTATAATATATATATATATATACATATATTAGTATACAGTATATAGATAATGTGCCCGCTATTTTGTACTCTAGATCTTTCCTTGTATTTCTTGTTAGTAAATATAATATGTTAGTTAATAAATATAGCTCTCTCTGATTTTCTAAAAGCATGAAATTTTTCCATTATATTATAGCATTTAGAAACTGCTCCATTAAATACTCAAAAATAAATATTTTCTTAATATTATAAATCTGAAAGTGTCTTTCTATTTTTTTTACCTCTTCATGACTAAATACCTGAACGAACTTAAAGAAATATATATAGGTTGGGATCTTATATCTCAAAAAATTATCTGGAGGGGAGTAAAATAGGGGTTGGCAGTTCGTTTTGGGCAACGGTTAGTAAAAAAATCTTCACGAGGAAATATTACATTTTGGGGCATTGTGATGCCCCAAGATACACTTTGTATGGCCGATCGATTTCCTAGGAAAATTTCAAACGGAAATGTGTACATTATCTCAATTATTTCTAATGATTCAAACTAAGTACAGTAAATATGACTGTTATTGTTATTTGTTTATTATTATAATGATAAAACAAATGTCTAAATGAGGACCTTATGCGCCTAACATTAGGGATCATTTTGTATAACCACTTTGATTTTTTATGTCTGATATTGTTTGTTCCAGAATGGCTCGATAGTTGGTCCAGCGACCGCAGCCCCACTCTTAGCCTTATGTTGCTATGGCATGGGCTTTGGAGCATATATAGAGACGTACATGAAGTTACTCATGTCAGCATCGTACCTCCGATACGGCTTGTCAGGTTTCTCTCTAGCACTCTACCAAAATAGAGGACAAATGGAATGTTCTGCCGAATTCTGTCTATACACAGATCCGAAGCTCATTCTTCGTGATGTAGGAATGGCAAATGATAACTATGGCTTTCAAATATTAGGTCTATTGGTATTCACAGCTATACACAGATTTCTGGCGTATTTCGCCTTACGGCATCGTCTAACGGCTGAATATTCGAATAAATTTATGACATATATTAGTAAGTTCCTGAAACATAGATAAAATTATTTTTCAGTTAGTATAAATAAATTATATTTAGTTTAATTCAAAAGTATGCTATCTCAAAATTATTGAATGTATAAAATACTAAATAATTTATAAGTACTTACGTAGTTAAATTATCATCTACTTAGTACACAGAGCTACAGCTGTGTTTACTCAAGAGCACACAATCTGTTGGCTCCCCTAAGTGAAAAGTGGTATACATCTATATATATATGAACAAGACTGTGATCGTTTTAGCATACGTCGCCGCCTATAGCAGCCCACGCCTTGCCAATTCTGAAAAACATGTCATACCTTAAGCCTAATTAACATTGCGATATTATAGTGGAAAGAAGCTGCAGTACAGTAACAATTGAATTGTAAATAGATATATCATTTAGATAGATAGATAGATATATCAATGCAAATATGATTTTATATATTAAATAATAGTTCGAAATATTTATAAGTACCTATTTAATGCGGAATGGGATATATTTTTTGTAGGGAACTACCTAATTATTAATGCTTAAGTAATATAGATTTATTGTAATGAGACATTGTATTGGATAAGTAAATAATTTTTATCTGTTTATATTAGCTAGATTATTAAAAAATAAATTTATATTTTATACAGTACAAACGGGTATTATTACCGTTTATTACCTTACATTACTTATACAATGAAAATGATTTTTCAATTCGTATCCTTGGCTGTTTTTAAATATGTATATAAGTGAAGATATGAATTTGATATATCATTAACGACAATATATAGGTAATTAATAGTATAATATATTATGATATATGTATATTTAAGGAACGTTAACTGATTAGATAGTTTTCAGTTTGATTAGAACAATACACAAGTACTATACTGTGTAGGTACTGTATATATAAAAACCAAACGAAATGTTAAGAAAATTACTAGTATCACATGAAGCAGATGTAAAAAGAACAACATTATGCTTTACCAAATTGAAATTTTGAAGGTTTCTAAAGATATTCTTAATTTATTATATGTATGTTTTTTTTTATTTTACGTAATTCAAAGGTTGAATGTATTTCAATAAAATTTGTCATGATAATCCTATAATTTGATAATGTGATGTAAATCTTACGTAGTTTCCGTTTGCTTTCATTTGAAACAGGCTGAAATATTATATTTTAGTAGAATGTATTAACTAATAACCTGATTGAGTTGCCGATTAATTGTCTTTGTAATATAACATATAGAGTTTAAAAATTATTTGCGACGGTTAAACAGTTGCGGTTGGAAACAGTACGATTCGGATTGTAAATGTAATTGTCTATTAATAAAATAATGTTAATAATATAAGACAATTAACCGCCCATCCAGGTGTGCAGAGATGGACACATTTTTTTAATGTGTTAAATTAAATTTCGGAATTAAAGCTTCTGTTACCCAGAGATAATGCAATATTCAAATTTTTTTTTTAAATAAGAAAATTATTTATACGAAGTCTTTGTTAGTCCAAACCCTTCAGAAAGGTACCTACTGTCATTTAACAATACTTTCATGTTTACGTAGGTATGTAGATAAAATATGAAGTTAAGCGGTTAATGTTCTCGGATTTCATGGAAAAATATATCGCACACGCAAACTGATATAATGTAGCATTGTTTTCATTAAAATAGTTCCGCGTAAAAGCTTATGGCGCCTGCAAAGCCGACATTAATAATTATAATAATTCACTATAGTGAAGTTCATACCACATGTCACATCAATAACGACACACTGACGTAATTGATCAGCCTGTACCACTCTGATTTATCTTGTCTATGTGATATATAACAAACGACACTATTATGTATACAAGAAACTGTATAAAGTCGTTTGTATATATAGGAAACAGCTCACACTATTATCCTCTTTTGAACCATAATATAGATACTTACAATTATTATTACATCAATTAGACACTCAAAAGAAGGTATATTTCAGTAAATCAGAGTAATAAAACATAAGTTACATGCAAGTATTAAGAATTACACAAAAAACGTCTTTCTCTCTATAAACATATTTAATAACATATTATCGAAATTGAATCCTAATTTTACCAGCTGTTTCTCATGAAATATTAACACATAAACAGACAGTTATTGCCTCGTAGATTTTGTTATATGGCCATGTAGGCAAACCATACAACTTATATATAAAATTACTATTTTACCAGCCAACAATATTAATAAAAAATATACAATTTAACTTATTAATTTAAAATCGATGTAATTATAAACATGTTAACGATATTTAAGCGGAAATGTGTTTTTTACCTATACAACTGACTGAACGAAATAAACATAGTCGCGACGAATAGCTTGTTTCATAAATATAATAATAATATAAAATATAAAGGTGCCTTTCAGATTAAATTCGTTAAGATTACTTAAAATGCCAAAATTTTGTACCATAGCATATCAACTTGTGATTATGAATATTCTTAATTTCCTAGTTAACGTTTAAAATAACGCCTTATAGGTATGTTATAGATTAATATGTAGGTATATATTTCGAAAACCATTACAATTCCAACATCTCAAAAACATGAATAACGTTTATCTTATCGAATCTTAAGATCCACTTCACACGTTCAGATACTATTTAGATCTTTCAATTATGCTAAGTAGATACATATAGTAGGTGTTTATTTATTCTGTAAAAATGTATAGGAACATCTTCGATGAAATACGATTAAATTGGGAAGGTACATATATAATTTAAGTACTTATATCAAATTGATAATGAATGTTCCAAAGTAACTACAAGGTGCTGAAATGTGAAAGTTATTAACACTACTCGTATTTATGAACTAACTATAGTGTTAATAGTTTCATATATTGTTATTTATGCTATACCGATTGTACTATAATATATAACAAATTAATTGAAATTATTGCTTTTTTTTGTTTAATTTGTATTTGTACAATATCATTTAATATTAAGTATTGATATTGAACAAACATCCTCTTGACTGTTCACCTAAATAATACCTATGGCGTTTCTCTATATACGCAGACTGTAGCATCGTAAATATATTAGGTATTTCGCGACATGGTAAGATTAAACCTGTACTCTTATATTCATGTACATACAAGTTCATTTGAAAAGTGTCCGCGACTTCCCGAGTGTTGTAGGTTGCACACTGAAAATTTCCTCCTAATTCCTCCAGCCGATTTTACTAAAGCCGAAACCTTAACAGAGAAACAGACAGGTGGCGGGACCTGTCTGTTTCTCTGTTGTTACCATTTTATTATGCATGCATAAAAAGAAGAAAAGATGAAGATAAGAAAGGCAAATCTGTATTTTTCATATGCCTTTATAATTCTTTCTAGGTTTTAGCTTATAGGAGTCTTAGTCTGAGCCACAGATTACAATTGTTTACTGTGTGGTGTAAGCTAAATGATTAGATTATGAAAACGGATATGTTGCTTTAGAACGAGCTACCTACGACAGTCGATAAGGCGACTTTAATCGAATCAAGGAATTAATAACCAATGGTCTAGACCACTGCCTGATTAAGACAGCACGGGGCCTGTAAACCAAGATACTATATAGACCAAAACCTAGACTGAAGACCAAATCATGGGCCTCTTGTTTCAGTTTAAGTTTGGTTAATTATAAATCATTTACTTAGTTTAGACTTAAAACCCTTTTTGTTATATTATGTTCAGGCGGTAATGATAAGGGACCAGTAACATTTCCTGCACCGCAGGCTACTCCCGCACTGGTCTATAGACTGTCACTATTTTGTATTTGATTCAATGCAGCTTCTACTTCTTTGCATGGGATCACAACTACTCGCCTTGCTGCTCAAATGGAAGCTCTTTTTAATTTAGGTTGGCACACATCCGAGAGTAGGTACGGGTAGCTGCGATACCCGCTAGGTAGGACTGCCTTTTCAATCTCCACTAATCCGGCGACGCCTTGATGATGTAGTGGTTTAATACATCGCTTTACTTCCATTGGTCCCGGGTTAATAATTCCTCGCACAATAGAAGTATTTGTATTCTTGAGTATGATTATCTGTATCTATTAGTCTGCACGTTATCTATTTGCGGTCTCTATTATCCTGGCTTAATCAACTCCAAATGTTACCTTAACTCTGCTCAATCCCATTACTATATTCTAATAGTTTTTTTCGGACGGAATGGAATGGTTCACCCACCTGCGCTAACGGTTTACGCTGGCGGGGCACCAGTGGAGGATAAGATGAATATAGCATGAGGTCAGGTCAGTTAGCCCATCGTGACAAATTCACCAGGAATTTATCACGATGGTTTGAAGGGGGAACCGAGTGGAGGTCAACCTAATATGGTACATTGCTAGTAATGGGGTCAAGAGTCCACATTACTAACAATCCATTTCCCCCCTACTCTAATGCTGTTGTCGCTGTTGGCCGTTACAGCTTCACGGGACGATAGGACGCGAAAGTGCAGAGGCACCGCTAGGGGTTTGAACGGCGGCTCAGGCCGCCGTAATCCCTATTTGAATGGAGGATCGATCGGAGGGGAAACTTATAATCCAATGCGAATTTTCGGCTTATTTTAGTGTAATTATACAATTTAATGTACCTACCTACCTAGAATTACTTAGTAAATCAAGTATAAACACTGCAGAAAACCCTCACCTAAATCCGATTGGAGTCTATTAACCTTTAGCGAACTGACTCATTGACCAAAGTAGGTATCATCGAGTACCTACGTGACTAACCTTTAACTATACTAAATTATGTAGACTATTTTAAAAAAACAATATCACTATGATAACATAAAGCATTATCATAGTCAAGTGATCGGGGCGACAATATTTTGAATAGGTATATTTATTTGTTTTTTTTTTTTTAACCTCTGACGCAAAAAGAACAATTAACATGATTGATATGTTCTGTCTATGGTTTCGAAGTTCGTATAAATGAATAGGCCGATTATGATGGGGTTGTTTGTCGTAGTTTAAAAAGAACGAGATGGCTAAGCATCATCCTAACTTAAAAAAATTATACTGGGGTTGCTTTAAATTCTAATTTTTAATATTGTATTTGCATTAAACATTAGATATAGCTATTACCTTTACTTAAAATGTTTTACGTATCTACATCACTTTTCATACAATATAGGTACATATACATATTTTCTTTGCTCACCCCTTCGAAGCCTGATGAAATATTAAGAGGGTCAAAATTTGATTAACCATTAAATACTAGCATCAAGAATATACAATTTCTTTTTATATTATTTTAAATCAATATAATGTACAGTAGATATATGATATTTATTTAATATCTATCGGAATAACCAGTCTTGATACAATCGAGAGTTATCAATTAGATCTATTTGCAATGCAAGTGCTTCTTTTATATGTCATTGGTAATGTATAGAAATTATGGAATATACATATACCGAGTTGACTAACCGTGTCCCGCGACGCTACTCATGAATTTAGCTAAAAAATTGACCTATTCTACTGTTGATATGATATTTTGTTTTCTAATGTATTTATGAAGATAACTGTACAAAAAATTCATCTGACTGAGTATCTTCGAAAACTGCAAAAATGCTTAATGATAGTCTTTATCCACAGTAACTGTAGTAAGTAAAGTTTATGTAGACAAAGTACTTAATAGTTGGAAGATTAAGTGAAATTTAATAGTTACCCAAACTCGATGTGCAAGCGAGTTGTGAATTAATAAAATAGTTCAAATTGTTAGGAAACTCCTAATAGGCATTAATTAAGTTTAAGACACCTGACCCGAACTACTTAAATTTTCCGAGAAAATAAATTTAAGTGAGTCAACTATGAAGTGTAAGTATTTAGCGATAAATATTTAAAAGTTGGCTTACATTGCTCAACACTATACGCGTAATTATTTCGTTGTACTTAATTTGTAATTAAGTTATATTTACGAATAAACTATTTCAATGAACCGGCTTGTAGTCTATTCCTACATTTGTAACAAATAGTTTCAAGAATTTTTTTTAATTAATCTTTTACATTTTTTTTGTTTGTATAAGTTTGTTAATGGAAAAGTGAAACCGCCTGCCAGGAATTAACTTTTGTTTTTTGTTATTTTTTAATTGTGGATACTTTCAATGACGACCATTATAAACGCCAAGTCAACCACGCAAATGTAAGCAAAGGAAGAGTGTAGTCCTTTAAATTCGATTCTCTCTTCCTACCGTGTAAATGACCCAATATACTACCGAGGTAGACAATATAATACAAATATATTAGTGAAATAAAATGTCATCTACTGTGAATACCTCAATCTCAATTAATATAGCTCTAATAGAACTTTAATTAGTATCTATGTTCAGGTTAGATCATTTACGGGGACACGCAAATCTTGCTCCATTCACCTTCATAAGTCGTCTGATGAATGCACGCCTGTTCCGCATAATCAAACAATCGATTATTTTATAGATTCACGGTAGCTGCATTTAGTCGACCTCAATCTGTCCGCGCGCCCAAACCAAAGTATGCATACTCTACCAGATGACGGCCTTGGTGGTCTAACGGTTTAGCACACCGCTTTACTTCCAATGGCCGCGGTTTCGATTCCTTGCACGGCACAAACATTTATAGAGTATGATTTTTTGTATCGGTCTAGGTGTTTTCAATGTTTGATTGTATTTGCAAAAAAAAAAACCTAACTATGTATAAAAGTTATATCAGTTATCTAGTACCCATATCACAAGCTCTGCTTACCTTGGGACTAGATGGCGCTGTGTGAATTGTTCAGAGATATTTTTTACACCGAATCTCTTGCAAGCCGTCTCAAAGTAAAACGTATAATATAAAAAAAAGCCAAGTAGTTTAAGCCTAAAGTACCAAATGAAATTAAACATGTTGATAATAGTTTGATTAGGCAAAGAACAAAAGCCAGTCTTATCGCTAAGCAATAGGTGCAACCTTAGACCTTCAGAATAAGTAGGTCTTAGAAAACCTACTTAAAGTACATTATAGGCTAGCGTTACGGTGTGAAGATAACCATACCTACAAAAAACCGTGTATTCATTTTCTATGATTATTGCGATATCGTTCATCGTATTGTTGAAACTTTGTACTTAATATTGTTACATCACGATAAAGATCTTACAATGCATATCTATATAGCAATAAAGTAAATAAACTCAGGACTGCTCTTTCAAACTTTTCTGGAGAACATATACAACATTCGATTTGTTGAAAGAACTACTAAAAAACATCGAATTAGAATTACATAAGTGATATTTATAGTGTAAATATTCTCTTATCTGTTTATACACACTAAAAAGAATTTAATATACCTACCAATTAACTACTAATTTAAATGAATCTACATAATTTAATTGTCCTATAAACTATCACAAAGGAATCAAGAGATATAAAAATAACGTCAGAAGTTATCATGATAACCACTTCTTTTATTAATAAAGTATTTGCTGATATGCTATCAAATAATAATTCTGTCATAGATTTTTAATGATAAAATTATAAACTAAAACAATTCTGAATGATAAACATAACTATAAATGCATAATAAATGTTCTGCATAGCAATAAACATGTGCATAATAATAATATATCAAAGACCCTAAACAAACATTAAACATAAAAACAAAAGCATCACTGAGTGAGATAATCATGACCTTTTAACATATACCAATATATGTTTGTAACAAAAATAGTAATAATTTACATTTCCATAAACAATCCCAGCAGTCAGAAACCATTTCAATATGCCTATGATATATACATTAAAATTAAACAGGAACTTAAAGATTACACAGTCAATCCTTGCAGACATCTAGAGCATCTTGTTTCTCTTCGGCTAGCTCTTTACCAGTAGTATCTAACATCTGCCGAGCATAATCAGAAATGGTCAATCCTTCAACAATCTTCCATTTCCCATTAGTAACAGTCACGGGGAATGAGAATACAACATCTCGGGGAGTGCCGTAGGATCCATCTGATACCACACCCATGCTTACCCAGCGGTCACCGGTCCCCAAAAACCAATCCCTCATATGGTCAGATGCGGCTTTTGCTGCAGACAGAGCAGAAGACATTTTCCTAGCAGCAATAACAGCTGCTCCACGCTTTTGCACTGTAGACACAAAAGTGGTTTTTAAGTATTCATCATCATTAATGGCTGCCGGTACTGGCTTATTAACACCACCAGTATATACAAGAGCATTTGAGGCATCTGGAAACTGAGTTGAGGAATGGTTGCCCCAAATAATAACATTCTTAATATCACGAACTTGGACTCCTAATTTCGCTGCCAACTGTGCCTGTGCACGATTATGATCCAAACGTGTCATTGCTGTGAAGTTTTCTTTAGGAATGGAAGGCGCATATTTGGAGCAAATCAGTGCATTGGTATTTGCTGGGTTGCCAACAACCAGAATTTTAACATCCTTCCTGGCAACTTTGTCAAGGGCTTGTCCTTGTTCTTTGAAAATACGAACATTTGCGGAAAGGAGGTCTTTCCTCTCCATTCCCTCTTTCCTGGGCATAGATCCAACCAGGAATGCTGCAGCAACATCTTTGAATGCTTCTTCTGGGTTGGCAGTCGGTAAGACACCAGCCAGAAGTGGTAATGCACAATCAGCAAGTTCCATCACTACACCATTCAGAACTCCCATCATAGGGGCTATATCTAAGAGATGTAGATGGACTGGCTGTTCAGGTCCAAATACTGCACCAGATGCAATTTGATACAGTAAGGAGTAGGCGATTTGACCTGCCGCTCCGGTCACAGCAACTTTAATTGGTGTAGCCTGGAAAGAAGGTATATTTCTATGAAGAAAGGATATTTTGTATTATAGCGAAACATACGAAGTATGATTAATTTAAGTCAATTAGAGTAGAAATGACTCTTATTGTCCAATAGATTACCAAATAAATTTTAGAATTAATCAGACCAAACTGTTTCCAAAGAAAACAACATAGAACACATATTTACTATAAAAATGAGTATATTTTTTAATTTTCTATGGTAATAGATAAACTAAATGTAAATTACATTCATTAACATTTACATTTATGAATAATTACTTCTTCAATTTTAAACTAAAATAAGTTATTACAACACTAAAAATTGCAAAAAAAATGTAATTGATTTTCTTTTCAATTACAATACTTTTTAATTGACAATTATTAGCAAATATAAAAAGAATTACCATATTTGCAGGTTTATTGACAATAGGTTCTATATCTTCAACAACTGTTGGAGCAGTGCCGCAACAAAAACATGACATATTGATTGCACAGTATCTATCAATATAAGTACCTACGATTCAATTACAAAGTTTGCAATGACGTTGATAACACATTAGCTATCAGAAGACCTTCAGATAAATATTTAGATAAATTATTACTCCTGTAATACACCTCATATTCATCTACAACTATTTCTGGGTGCCTGTCTGAGACTGTACCGTTACATATTTTTGTCACAAGTAATTGAAAAACTAGTTTTAAGGTCAATTCAATGTCACAGTGTCACACTAAGTTAATCATGCAAAAAGGATACAAAAATATGAAACTTACCATATTTACTATGTGCACTCGTTTATATAGTAATATTTAACTTAAATATTTAGTCTTTCGGGTATCAAAACTGGAATGAGTGAAATGTCTTTCAGGATGTAAATAAAATAAATATAATAATATTGTAGATTATGTAACTAACAGAGCAAGAACACTGACTGTTCGTTGTTTGCGATTGGTTGAGTCAGAAACAAAAAAGATAAGAAATCAATTCAGACAATACAATTTCTGTTAATTGATTAATATAACAACTCTAGTGAATAAGTTGACAGCCTGGATTATGTTCTTACTGTCTTTTCTGACATTTTGATATATATGACAGTATCACAATCACTGTCACTTGATTTAAAATGAACACTATGCTTTATCGTTATTTAGAGTTGCCGGTAATTGGAATTTCGTTTTATCATGTCATCGTTACACTACTAGTTACAGTTACATTATAGTAGAGTTTAGTTGACATTTCTTTACTTCAAATCTGTTTTACTTCAAAGTATTATTACTTTATTACTTACTCGTTAACCGCCCGGCTTCGCACGGGTGTACATATATTATTCATATATAAACCTTCCTCTTGAATAACTCTATTAAATCTATTGCTAAAAACTGAATTAAAATATATTGTGCAGTTTAAAAGCTCTAAATGAACAGACAACGGAACTGACTTCATTTTATAATTAAAATTAAATTAAAGATAATTGATAGGTACTATGAATGTCGGTATAAAATAGGAATAATAAAATATTACGTTGAATTGTAGTCCACCAGTTTAATGTTTCTTTACTTTTAAAAAATATACATTACCTTTATAAAATAAATAAAAAAATAATAAATGGATAAAGGGACAGAAACCACGTCAAAAATTGTATAACTTGACTAAGAAACTGTATGACTTACGTTACGGTACGTCGTTATAGTTACCAGTTACTCAATAGTGGTTTTCAAAAGCTTTAGTCCAATATTCTTTGCTTTAGTCTGTGGTAATGACATAATAAGATAACCTCAAAATATCATTCCTTCATTTCATTTCTTATAATGTATATTTATTGAAATACCTAAAAAAATACAATATAGCCTATATTAATAATTTCTATAGTCGTTTAATTATTAAATGTGCTAAATAAAAGGCCCTCCGCAATGTCACTGCTCAGATCTACTAAGTTTGTGCGATATTTTACTGGTGCGGCAAGAACTCTCATACTAAACAGTGCAAAAACTGCAGAAACCAACATTTTAATAAACTCTAAAGCGTTGATTGGTGCTAACAAGTAAGTTCTACATGATTAGCTTTTCTAAAATCGTGCTTTATTGTAATTGCATTTAAACTCATTTTATATAATAATTTAGTTTTCATTTAGGTCTGATTTATCCTCTGTCTAGACAGTGAATTTCGGTTACAATTTTGTTACATATGCATAATATGATTCTGTGTAAATACTACAAGGATTGTGATGTAATATTCATTCATTTTTATTTTGTGTACTAAGGTATTACGAAACTTATAGGCATCCAATTAATACAAATTTTGTTACAGTGTTTTAACACGAGACTATGCTACATCCAAAAAAACTGAGACCCTTGAACCACTCCTACAAAAATTGGACTCCGAAGTACGGAGATTTGGGCGAATAACTAAGAAAGACATAGATGAAGTATTCGATGAGATTCGTTCTAAAAATGATATCACAAGTTCACAATCACTGCTGGTCATCAGATGCTGTGGTGAGACTAAGTTTAAAGAATTAAAACATTATAAATATAAAAATTCCTGTCAATTAATAAGCATTTTGATATAATTAACCTTGTCTTAAAATTGCCACTACAATTACTAGCATCTTGCAAGTAATTTTAGTGGTAATATGTACTCAATATGCTACATTAAAAGTAGCTATAAATAGCTTCTATTGCAGAAGTTCTGAAAAAAAAACAAATTAAGGGATTTCTCATCTGTCAGTTGCCAGTAAAAATTAAATATAAATATTGTCATTATATTTTGCAGGTGAATTAGTACCAGAAGAGCTTCCGGAACAAAGAACACTACTAGTTCAGAAAATATGGAATGTTCTTACAGAGAGGGGTATACCCATGGATATCTCTCATTACAATGCTTTACTCAGGGTATACATTGAGAATGAACATCAATTCTCACCTGCTAAGTTTTTGGATGAATTAGAGAAGAAAGGGTTACAACCAAACAGGTAAATACATAAATAATAATGCATTTATTTATATCTTCAGTAGTTGCACACATCAGTCTCACCTGTTTCAACTGCCAGGTGTTGATGTTGCTGATATAATAAGGATGGTTACCATTTACCATTAGGTATGGCAAATCACACTCTAGTTTGCATTTCCAATTGGAAAACCTCAGATTGACACACTTTTTTTATTACCTAAAAAAGGTGTGTCAATCTGAGGTTTATTACAATTCAAATGAATGTGTTTAAATCTTTTGAGTGGTTTCAATATGATTGAATTTTATCCATCCTTATAATATGTGAAATATTAATATTATTAGAACCCATCCCAAAGTGTAAGAAAATGTCTAAACAAATTCTCATCAGAAATTCTGATTAAAAGTGAAGTTAGCAACTTTTATTTACAAATTATATTATAGCTATCATATCAACATTCTGCAACAAAATTCCATGTTCTCATATTACAGCAAAAGCATTGACTATCTCATAATAAAGTTGTTAATTGATTCTGGTATTGCTATATGTTAAATATTACACATATAGTATGTACTGAATCCCTATTATTTGTATAAAATTTACTTATTTCTATTATAGAGTAACATACCAAAGACTTATGTGGCGCTACTGTCAAGAAGGTGATGTTGAGGGAGCAACTAAGGTTCTAGAAAAAATGAGGGAACTGAACTTTCCTGTTTCTGAACCTGTATTAAATGCTTTGGTAATGGGCCATGCTTTCCACGGGGATACTGAGGGTGCCAAAGCTGTTCTGGAAACTATGGCAGGAGCTGGTCTTGAACCAACAAACCACACATATACATTATTAGCCTGTGGTTATGCCAAAAAAGGTGACATTGAAGGTGTTAAGAGCACTGTTGAGGCAGCAACCCAAAAAGATGCCTACATGACTGATAAGGTAAATAAAATTAAATTACTACTCATGGTACATTGCATATATCTTATTTGTAATATTTCAAATGAACCCATACATTATCATCCATCCTATCTAATATAAAGGTGAGGCATTGATGAAGATATTTAGGTTAAATATCTTCATCAATGATCACTCACCACCACTCACCTTTATATTAGATAGGATGGATGATAATGTATGGGTTCATTGCTCCCACTAAGTCTTAGTCCTTTTGTTTCAATTAGTATGTTATTTTGTTATACTTAGAAACTGTATTAGATTATTTGTTGAACCTAAATATAGATTATTATTACTATTACAGTAGTAAACACTAGTCTTTTAAATTACTTTTATTTCTCATAATAATTTTATCTTGATTCAAGAACATTTTTTTGGTATATGATTTCATGCCATACTATTTTATTTTAGGATATTTTGGATATCATAGAACATCTTGCAATTGGAGCACATGAGGATAAAGTTGAACAGTTATTCCCATATTTACAAAAATCTTTTGGATATAACCAAGATGTTTGTAATCTTATACTTAAATTACTCAATAAAGGATTTGAAGAGACAGCTAAAAAAGTAATGAAAACTATGCCAAAAGTTGCTAATGTGGAAGATACACCATTCAAAGGAGCATTTTATGTAAAACAATTGATGAAACTTAATAAACCAAATGATGAAGTAATCAGAGCATGCAAAGAATTACAAGAAGAAGATCTAGTGCCCAATGCCATTTATATTGCTACAGAAGCTGCACTTCAAATCGGTAGGACAGAACTGGCACAAAATTTATTCAAAGAACTACAAAAAGAAGGCATTGAATTGCGGCAACATTATTTTTGGCCATTGTTAGTCCAAAAGGGTAATGAGCAGGATGAGGAGGGTCTTTTACAAATCCTTCGGAACATGGCTGCTGAAGGGATCCCTGTAGTAGGTGAAACACTAAGGGATTATGTTATACCATATTTAATACAAAAGGACACACCCCAAAATGTGATTTTAAAACTTCAAATTGCTAATGTGCCCATTATAGTTAGCGCCAGAAATGTTATGGTAGCTCTTTTAGAATTGGGCCATACAAGTAGAGCAGCGGAAATTGCTTTGCAATATCACCCGAGAGGACAGTATGCACTGATTGCCCGACCACTTCTTAATGCATTGTTTAAAACTAGAGATATTGATTCCTTTGTCAGTATATTGCATGTTATTAGCAGCAGACCTCCAGTGTCAAATGTAGATGAAGATGTTACTGATGATGTACAAAAAGATGACAAACAAAGTAGTGTCGAAGTGGGACGTCTTGTAAATTCAGCAGTCAGAATCCTATCCAAACCAGATCTCTGTGAGAACTTGTTGCAAAATATATACTCTAAAGGACTCAGCATTAGTACAGAGTCAGCTGAAGCCATAGAACAGTATCTTGGTGAAAACATGACAACAAAGTTATCAGAGCTGCTCTCTCAACTTACATCATCTGATTTAGAAGTAACCCCAGTTCAAAGCATACGACGAGAATCATCCGAACCACCATCTTCATTACAACTAGAAAAAATACTTCAACACAGTAAAAACAAGGGTATTAATACTAAAAGAATTCAAAAGCAGTTATTATCTGCATACATCAGAGAGAATAATGTAACTAAATTAAATAATTTCTTGCAAGAGATAAAAGACTCAGACTTTGAAATTTCCCCATCAACACTTGCCCATCTTTATGAATTCTATAGTCAGAATGATGAAATTGATAAAGCCAATGAGTGTCAAGCCCAGATTTTAGCCAAGTATCCTGATTTTAAATTAAATAAATTTAAGTTGATACAAATGGCGTTTGCCTTAGTCAGAGGTAACAGATATGATGAAGCTATTCAGTTCCTGAAGGATAACAAACTGGATGAAGATGTAGATTCTGGTTTTATGTATAATTCTAAGGTTTGGCAATTATTGAATAGTTTAGCTGAGAAGAAAGATGCTGAGAAGGTAAGTGTGCTGCATAAATTGCAATTATATTGTTGTTACCTCTATTCTACCCTATTCATAGAAAAGCTCTTCCATCTGACAAACCAATTTTAGCTATCATATTTTTATAGTTTAAAAGAAGTTATAAAATCCTGCAATAATATGTAGAAATTATTATTATTTATGAATAAGAAGTTAAAAATCACTAACGATGTGAACTTACAAAGAAATACATTTCTTTTTTTATATTTACAGGTTAAAGAACTTACAAATGTATTAATAGAAAACAATTATATAGAGCCCTCCAATGTGTTATTGGGTCCATTGATAAAGGTGCACCTACTGAAAGGTGATGTTGATAGTGCACTGAAGGAATTTGAGGCTTGTTGCAATCAGTATAGAAGCACCCCATGGAAGGGGGAATTGATGAAAGCACTCATAATGAAGGAAGATGCATCGAAACTTCAGTGGCTAGCAGACCTTAGCACACAGGTACGAAAATCATGTAAAGTTAAAAAAAAAGTTTGGTTAACATTTTATAATATAGCATTGTTCATTATGTTTTCTCGATTTTAGCTTTTTACTTAATAATTTCCAATCAGTAAGTAATTCTGTTCATTTTATCAACTACATATTTGGCATTTCAGTCTTCTTTTTTTATATATCTGGTAGATAAAATATTGCATTCATAGTCTGTATTATCTTTCACAGATACATGGTGAAGTGAACATCTTACATGACTTAGTACTCGCGTTCGTTGAATGTGGCCGTTTGCGGCAGGCGCGCCGCATATTGGAGACGCCGGGTATGCAAACGCGCCAACGGCGCCTGGACGATGCCTGCCTGAGATATGTTGAGGTAAATCATCTGTGTTCCATACTTATTTAGGCAAGATAGTCTGTCCAAAAAGCAAACTAAGGAAGTGATTGCATTCTTGTGTTGCTTCATTGAGCTTGAGAGTACTAGCAGTGGGGATCAATGGCATAGTAGCCATTTTTAGTTCGAAAAACGGATTTAGATGGCGTCATTGGTATCGAATGGAATTCAACATTGTTTTGTAATCGTTTAAAACCCAAAACTATGTTTTTAAAAAGGTTTAATCTATTTTTAAAAAGTCATATATAGATGTTAAAATGAAATAATGCGTTTTGAAAAGTAATTTTCATATATTTACTCATTTTGTTGTTGCCCTGTATTTGTTTACAATTTAATCATTGCTAATTGGGGCTTATTGTTTACAAAATACTTTCATAGATGGCGCTGTTTTCATTTGTATCACCGTATTTTAAATGTTTATTTTATATTTTCAAATAATAAGTATTTACTATATTATTATGATAAATTAAACATAAAAAAAGTTTAAGTAAATATAAAACAGCTAAACAAGAAAACCATATTATTCCAGTAATACTTATTTAGAAAGTGTTGCCATATTAAAAATAAATGCATAGATTTATCGATTTTTTCGAATAATCGATAACAGGATATTACAACGCATTATTCGATGGTGCTTTTAATTAGTCTTTGCAAACAGTAAAATTTCATCATTTTGTATTATACTCTTATTTGGAACGAATTGCAATGCATAATTTTTACTCGACGACGGCAAAATAGAGAGATTTTGACAGGTATGCAAGTACTATATATTTATCTGTTCGCTCATAACTTCGAAACTTGAAGAGGGAAATATTAATTAGATTGATCTGATACAAGTGTACTCCATTATATCAACCTCCACGCGGTCACCCTGGTAATTATAGCAATTAATGACATTAGTGACATAGTTCTTCTATTAAAAAAATTAATTCCTACTTATTGTAATTTAATGAATGAGAATTGAATGTGGTATAGAGTATATAAGGTCAGCTATACCTTTATGAAACCTCAATAAATAAGTGTTATATGGTATCTAAATTACTGACATTGATAGCTAAATATGAGGATCCTCGAATTTTTAAAAATACTCATAAGAAACTTTACAAATACTCGAATTTTGCTTTTGTAGAAGGATATTTTCAACCTTACTAAATTGTACAAGGTTTTGAAACGATAATCATTCATAATACTATGATATATTACTGATCCTAGTACCTACTATTCATGATAATTAGTTTTTTAATATCTCCATTCGAGGGTAGGTTATTCATAATTTATATTATTAGATTTCATCACAAATAAAAATATCGATTTAAAATCGTAGGTTGGTCCATATTTTTTTATTATATCGAAATGACAACGAGTACTGGCAACATAAATGAAATGTTAAAAATATAAAATATAGGAATAAAAGAATAGGATAAACGACTTTAAGTCAAATGCTTAAAACCTATTTTCACTAGCATTGGATTTTTTCTCTTTTTTCATCATTTAAGTTAAGTAGGTACTTTAACTTTTGAATTGTTCCTGTTCAGAGTTCATTGAACTTCTTATTTTTTTGTCAAACTCAATAATTTAAATGTGTCTAAGGACTACTACAAATATTTAGTAAACTATCGTGTTTTTGAGGATTATCTCATACCAGGTATAACTATAAGTTGTTAAAAACTTGCATATGTATGAGTGTGTATCTTTCATATTAAAATATAATAAACATAGGTACTTGGTGACCGCTTTAATGTGGTATTATTATGTTTTTATTATTGCTATGAATGTAACTTCAAAAAACTAACACTGATTTTATAATTTTTGATTGATTGAGAAAATACTGAAAATTATTAATCAAAATAAAGTACTAAACAGTAGTATTATTTTTATATTTTATTAGAACTGAATGAATATGATGTATGAATAATATGTTTATTGTGCTAATAAGGTTACAGTTTAGTTACTTTCATGTAAATTCATTCATGTAAGTTCATGAAAATGTAACATGGTATATGATATTGTTTTCAGATTTTCCTGACATCAACAACTTAATACTGAACAAAGTTTAAACAAATAAGAGATTATATTCTAAATCTCCTAGTCATTCAGATGAAGATAAATAACATTTTTACTGTAAAGAACAGGAGTTCAAAAGAATAAGAAATATATATATATATGAACATTTTACTGTATAAAATAATAATGCAAGTAAAAATAAGAGAAAAAAGCAGAAGAAAAATCTGTAAATTATTAATCACAATGCAATTAATAATATAATTAAATAAGTAAGAAAGCAATGGACTAGTGATGAGAAGAAATTCCAAGTAATTATATTATGTGTAACCGACTGCAAATAAGTTTATGATTTAAGCTCATGATTATTATTATATTGCTTCATCAACAAATCCAGGAATATTTTGTGTACCAGGAATGAATTATGAAATGATTTTGATGAAATATTATGTCTTGATATTGATTTATTTGGAATAGAATATAAAAATAACAGAATTGTTTGAAGTTTTAGTGGTATAACAGACAAGCAGTGAAAGAAATATTATTGTAATTTATTAACAATTGTTTATTCTGTGATTAATAAATTATTTAACAGTGTTTTATTACCTGAAATAAAAATGTTATGATCTTCAAGTGTTGTGTTCATGCAATGTTAGTTTCACCTCATTCGATTTAAAATGTCAGGAATTATTTACTACATAATGATTTTGTATTAGATGGTAATCATATATATTTTTTAATGCAATGTGTATAATAATTCCCATTTACATCAAAAAACTTTGTGTAAATCTATATTTCTCTGTCTATAGACTTTGGTCGTGGAATACTAATAAGAAACAAAATCTAGAGACTGTAGTATATCAGAGCATCCCAGAACCTTGTATTTAAGTCATATAAGGACTTAGTACCTACCTAATACTTGCTACTTTTTTAATCAATTAATTAATTTGATCTCAATCATCATGATGAACAATGATGATAATGTTGAGAATACTGCCAATGATGAATTTTATGGTCATAAATAAATACCACCGTCACTATCGTCAACAGTCATTATTGATCTCATCATCATCACCGTTACCCTCCTTCATCCATATTGTCAAAAGATACTACCTACTATTATTTTACTGAAATGGTAAATAAGCTGACGATCCATCCAACCACGACGCTATCCGACGTACATACATACACATATTATTAAACAGCATTACGTCATCATGTCGTGCCGGCTATATCCCGCATACATTATCATGCCGGAGAACATAGATGTTATGTCCAAATATCCTGTAATTTCGCAGCTTAATTTCAACTGAATAACAACTTACATAAATACCAAAAAACTAGCAGTAAAGGCGTAGTTTGTAGATATGTAGATATCAAAATAAGTACCTACATGTCATTAGCACCGATGTAGTATCCCTGAAAGAACCTACATATAACAGATTGATGGTTTGCAGATATTATTTTCAGTTTTACAAATTGCCAGTTTACCATAATTAACTACATATTGAGAAATAATTATACACTGAAAATTATATGAGGTACCCATATGCACATCAATTGATTATAGCTAAAATCTATCACTATCACATAACAATTTAAATAAAAAAAACCGTATTAAAATCGGGCTATTCGTTAAGGAGCTATTGCTCCTTAACCGATAGCCCGATTTTAGTGCAGACGCGTTACGACATATCTTCGTCGGGAGAAAAAAAGTAGGCATGTAAAAAAGTAACTGTAACATAGTACATAGATACATAGGTACATTAGCCGTGTCTGTAGACTGTCAGCGAACAATATTATACCTACATTGAATTTTCGATTGTACCCAATCAGGAGTTCGATACAGTTATGTATATATCTATTATGTACGTATCTTTGCAAAACAGATGTCATGTAGATCGAATTCTCTGCCATCTATTTTCATGCTTTATTACTAATCACCCACTAGTAATCCGAACTGCTTCAGATATAGCGACATCTAGCGCCTACGGCGGCGAAATAAAATAGCCCGAGTTAGGAAGGAACCATTTTCTTGTATGGGATGGAGTATCTGTATGTAATATTATATTATCTGTGGTACTAGTCTGTGTCCCTGTACGTTTTCGATAAGAATCGGACGATCCGCGCCGACGACCGTTTGATTAGCGCACCCCATTGCTACACCCCCTTTCCTTAGAAATGCGTTAATTAAAGATGAAAATGGCCGATAAATGTAAGCAATCCCATTATCATTAGAAAACAGTCTGCAAATCTTTTTATTGATTTTAGACCATGGTTAGAAACGTCACGTGCTTTCCCATGTCAGTCGCTTATAAATAGTGTTTATATTGTAAGCACAAAAATTTTAACTGTTTAGGTTATTTGACCTATACTGCACCAGGTCCACATAATATGAATAATGAAGGCAATGGAATGGTAATCAATACACATGTTAGGCGTGTATTAAGCAGCGAGCCCATAAATAAACAATATTGCCCATTAACTTCCAACTCAATATTGCCTTAAATAATACATCAATCATTAACATTTTCATTACAGGAGGGCAAATCAGAATACCTTGAAGGACTACTTGAAGCTACAAAGGAACTATCATACATTGACCGTTCAAATATTTTCTATCACCTATTAGTCACATACTGCAAAGCTGATGAAACTGATAAAGCAATTAGTTTATGGACTATTCTACAAGAAGAAGGCGAAATACCTAGTGACAAATTCCTGACATATCTTGGTAAACACCTGAAATCTAAAAAAAGAGAGGTACCATTTGTGATACCTAACGAAACACCAAACAAAGTAATAACTAAAAAAACTGAGAGTCCAAAAACGAAAAAGACTAGCTTAACAAAAGCTGAAGTATCTAACAACATTGAAACCCTGGTCAAAGAAGGCAAGGCTGCGCAAGCTATGGATGTTGCTTTAAAATCTATTGCAGATGGACTTATTCCCAAAAGTAGTGTTATGAAATTCATGATCAAGACATTAGCTGAAGAATCTAATGTAGAAAAGATACAGCTATTGTCTAAATATGCAAATGAGAACTTGAAACGTCAAATTACCTATGATGATAAACTCACTTTGGCCATTTTCAATCGCGGAGCTGGGGTCAGTCATGTGGACAGTATATTATCAGCTTTACAAAATGCCACCACAGATGAAGATGTACAATTAGCACTACAGAAATTCCCGAGAAGCAATGCATTAGCATCTATTATGACAAATGATGAACTTTTAAGAAAATGTAAGTCCACTTTTTAATAATTCAATCATAATATAAGGTTTTTAAAGAAGAGATTACTCATGCAGACATATTTGTGATATGAAACATAGGTCGATAGGTATATATATATATATATAGTATTCTTAGATTACATCCAAACTGATACAAACCTATGAATACAAATGTTTGTACAGTGCGAGGAATCCAACCCGCGGCCAATGGAAGTAAGGAGGCGTGTTAAATGGGTACACAACCGAAACTTACTAATGTCTAATAGGCCTTAATATTTACAATATGATAACACATAATGGATATACAATTAATGTGATGTTCATGTTCATACAATGTCCACTTTCAATTTAGTAGACCATTAGTTATTCATCTATATATGTAACTATGTTATTAACAATTCTGAATTGTAATCAATTAAAATTTACAACTTTGAAGTTATGCACGGGACATTTGACAGTAGCAATTGCCACGGCATAACTTTGCTTGCATTGGCAACTCCCAGTTGGTTAATAGAAAATTGCAAACCCAACAATTTTAATTCTTTATAATTAAGAATTGTTAATAACATCATTACTCAATAAGATCCTTCGTCCAATAACAATAATGATTATGAATACACAGTATTTTGTTGAGTGCTTGGTTTTTTTGCAGGTCATACAATAGCAACCATTGGTGCATCAAAGGGTCACTTAATTCCTGCCAATCTTTTATGGATGGAATATATTCTGGCAGATAAAGAGCAGGAGGCAGATGCGTTATGGAAGAACTCACTCGTTAATGCTGATGGTATCATATTTAGGAGATTATTACAAGAAAGTCATGTGAGAAATGAATCACGATATATTGAAAAACTAATAACCACTTTACAATCCAACAATCATATATCATTGGGTTCATTAGGAAATGTCTACTCGCGGTTAATAAATTTGCATTTAACTAACAATAATTTACAAGAAGCAGGAAATGTATTAAAAAAGGCCATTGATTGTGGTGTGAGTTCTGAACATTTTAACAAAAATTGCGTAAATAGACTGCGAGCAGCATTTGAAGCGGCAGGAAAAGAATTCAATTATTCAATATAAATGTTTTTAATATATTTTGCTATGCATAATAATTGTGTTGTGTAACAAAGTTCATGTTTATGACAATCAATATTATTAGACTTTATAGTAAGCACAGAAATTTTTATTGTGTATATTCAACACAACAGTCGCATATAAATGTGCAATTAAACCAAAAGAATAAAAAATAGTACAGGACTTACAACATGAAATGCTCAAGAAGATAAAACAAGGAACCTATAAAGAATTAGTTGCTACCAAACGAGAATGAACAATACATTGTTTGCTTTCTCATTATATACAAAATTTGGATTACCGGCATATTAACCATATCAGTATACGAGCAAGTTCATATTATGGAACATCTGATCATGTTCGCACGCGAACATATTCATATGCTTCCAGCAAATTCTTTAAATAGAACATTACATATACTTAATAAAAAATAATTTAAAATACCAAATGTTAAGTCTGCTAATTTTAAATTGCAATCATTGTAGTTTTAATATTATAGTGATTAATGTTTATTACATTATTAGTTCTAGACCAGATTGTTTCATTTTAAATACCATAATATTGAATATGCGAGGGACAAGTGAGACTAATGACTGCTTTATGCATATTGTTTATTAGTTCTGAGGGGCATTGAGGTCGCTGCGCACCCGCTATGATATAAGTATTTGTATACATAAGAATATTACATTTCTACACATACTATTTAACGTAAGTAATTGAATACTCAGTTGCTTAGAAATATACAAATTATTAAAATTTTACCTAAATTTAATTTATTTTAATTAGGTAAAAAAAAGCTTACTACTAAACAACTATAGTGCAACATAGTAATTCTGATATTACAGATACAAAAAAAAACAAAATATTGTGAATATGAATATTCTGTTATCATTATTTCTATGAAACCAAAAAATGTGAAATAATCATAAATCTGGTACAAAATTGTATGATAATGACGCCCCCATCCCTAATACTGAAGACGCAAAGAAAACAAATCTTGTAGTCGCACAAGACTCGTACGAAAAACCCGGTATACTTGGTCACCCCGTTAAATATATAGCAGTCACTTGCATCAGTATTGAAGACATGATAATTTTCATAAAAACTATAATGTACAAAAACGTACTATTGTTGTATAACATTTTTAGTGTATTGTACTAAATTTTTAGTTAGGAAATTCAATGAGCTACTTTTTCATTAGAGCCAAAATTTTGTTACCCTGTCACACATTTTCGGTACCAAACGGAAGGTTCGTATTTCGTACCGAAGCGACACTGAGCCGCGCCGCGACTGGGCCGCGGCGGCGCCGGCCGTCTCAAATTAATTAGCATTACTATGCTTGCCTCTTCAGAACTAATAATTTAAATTTTCACGAGGAATAGATTGTTCAACCAAACGGTTCAGGATAACTTCGTTTTGGAAGTTCAATAATTTGAATTCAAACTGCGTAGTGATTCTTTGCTCTGTGCAATTAAAGCGTTAATTTGGTAACACTGGCTACATTGACACATACCATAGACATTCATAGACTAAATAATTTTGGCGGGAAAATACCCGTCATTTTGTATTCGTATTGTATTGACTCTACATTTTGGAAATAAAATATTTAATTTTTCAGTTATACACAAATTAATAAATAATGTTTTATCCAGTTGATTCGTTGAAAAGGGGAGGTAGATTTTATCTATGCTGGGTAGCAGATTCGTGGCCATTACGGTTTGCAACAATAACACAAAAGCAATTGTGGTCTCAAGATATTCGGAAAATATGGTAGTGTCTAGAACTGCAATATTTATTTATTAGTATAGTTAGCTTTGTTATATATTAACATTTTCGATACATTTCAGTGACGATTTGTTAGAAGTTATGACAAATGAGTCCGGTCGCCCAGTCAACAGGTTTTCACTTAGACTCAGTTCACAATTAATGCGAGGTTTAGTGAGACTCTATCAAAGAAAAGTTTCTGTTTTCTTAGGTAACAACACATATTTAGTAATAGTTTAGTATAGTATCATTAAATTGTAAACTAATAATAGAACAATATTAATGGATAGTTTAATATTGTTAATGTAATTTTGTATTTCAGGCGACCTATGCATGATCAACGCTAATGTTATTAAAAATATTAACAAAAAGTTAGTAAGACTTATTCACTTACTTATTTTTATTATTCCAAAACAAATCCTCTAAAACTTTTCATATTAGGACCATAATTTATGTACTTATCTGAATATACCTGTTTGAGTATGTAAAGTACAACAAGTAGTAATTCCTTATATAACTGGGTTAAATTGACAATTCATGATCTAAGGGGTTTGTTAATGAAAAGTTTTTGGTAAATATTATTTGGTACACAACATATTTAACATAAAAGTATGTCACTTTGTAAGTGCTTAAAATTACTGTTGTAACATTTCTTAATCTACTATTTCTATCTTTCATAATGTAAGATTCCCTATGGCATAGACAGAGAGAACCATATGCCATATGACTATCCTTATACTTAATGCTTTTATATTTTTTTTTATTTTGGGAAAATAATAAATGTGATACTGTTCATTTTCAATATATTCATTCAAAAGTTATAGCAATTTTAAATATGTTAAATTGAAATTATAATGCTGTTAGATGGAATGTACATGTTTTGGATTTGGGAGTCACTCCACGATTGCAAATACTACCATCACTTCAACCGCCAACAACAGAAGTTCCAGATGAGCCTGAAAATGAACAAAGGATTGCCGAATTGATCCAAGTAAATAGTTTTGTCTATTTGTAAAATTTACTGACTAATATTTTTGTTTATAAACAAAATATTTAATAAATACATTTCTTTAGATAAAATATGGGTATTTTATTATATCATTACTGTATTGTTACTAATTGTATTATATTACAGAGCAGTGGGAATGTGGTGGTAAATATTCAAGATATAACTCTAAAAGAAACTGCTATTCCAGAGGTCCTGCCACCTAATGTAAGTGTTTAATTATATAATGGTTTAATTAATTAATTAATAGGTACCCTATATTTCTATTATTATATTTTAACACTCCTTGAACTTGAATTGCGCCTGCTTAAAGGTTTCAATGTCGCATCGGTTGGGAAATGATTGCTGGAAGGTGATTCTACAACGTGGTTGTGTGTGTAATGTTATTTGTTATTGGAAGGACGGTTTTGGAGAAGAGAATCCTGAGCTGACGCTTCTGTTTGCGGAGCGCAGCGTAGAAGTGATGCTGCAAAATGATGCGTCGGTCGCACAGCTCAGTACGCTGGAGCCGCGCCCACTCGACGTCTCCCTCGCACCCGACAACAGCCGGCCCTCGCGCGACCCGCAGATGGAGATGATATCGGACCACGACCTCACTATGTTCGCAAAGTGTATGATTTTTTTATATGATTGGATCGACTAATGAATTAATGATATCGGTTCATGACCTCAGTATGTTCAAAAGTGTATGATTTTTGTATATGATTGGATCGACTAAGGACCTGAATGAATGAATGAAACTATAAATACAGTTATAATATACATATACAATAATGTATAAAAAGATGAAAAGGAGAAGGTAACAACCATACAGACCGACATTTTCGTATTTATAATAATAAGATGGATTGTGTAGAGCATGAACAGTAAACTTATTTCTTTATTACAGTGAGAATATCCTAATTAAATCGTAATAATTTATCATAGGTAGATACATGGATGTGAAAATGTAATTTTAATGATATATTTTCTTTACAGCAACTGGACATGATATTTTACCTGCAGAATTATTTGAAAAAGGTAGGTATACATATATTTAAAAATTCTTTAACACATCTAAATATTTTACGAATAGTTAGTGCTTTAATCAATGCACCAACGAGGACATGTTAGGTAACATGAAATTCTGCAATATTCGATGTTTAAAATATAATCGATTATTTTTATATCGAATTTTATCCCCTTCAATCGAATCTCTTACCCAATGCTACAGGGACCGAAAGACGGCATGAGTTTTGGTTCGATCCCCTATCAGTACCTAGAGTCCTCAGATTATAGTCGTATTTATTAGGCAAGGCTAACCTAACTGTTTCACGGGAGAACTTCCCGTGGGTAAACGGAAAAAAATAAGGCGGAATAAACGACATAACGAGGCCAAGTGCTTAGTGCGCTACAAGTGCACAATGCACTCGCCCTTTTTTTTGCCAGAACGATATATACCTAATAGCATTTTTAAAACGTAACCTAAATTTTATATAACTGTTTACTGACACTTTATAAATGTAGTAGGTATATTTCGTCACCACTACGTATCAATTGGTTTTGCAGGTAGATAATGGTAGACCATTAACGACAGTTATACACATTTATATATTTAGATTGCAATAATAAATATATAATGTTTATACAGATATCCCAGAAATTCCCGATATCCTGATCCCTGAAGTCCCAATTCCTGATATACACGTTCCTGAACCACAACCAGATAAGTCAGTTTATGTAATTCTTAAACATGTGTTTTTATTGTAATAGTTACGCGTTTTTATAGTAATGGTATGTGTAGTTAACATTTGTTAACTATAAATATGAACAAGTATATCGACTTGGTATCAAATGTGCTCATCGTATTATGTTACCGCAACACCCGCACTCCATAGTGGGTCATCATGTATATTTATATACTTAAGATACTGGTAGAGATCTAATAACGTATTAAAATTTCATAGCAGTAAGCTATTTATTTTTATTTATATGTATAAAAATATTTATTATGTGTGATGTATGACTGGCTGTCACCAGTATAGGATGATAGAATGACGATTGTCACGGATCATATTATGGCCGATTCGAATTTAGGTATTCGGGGGAACCCATTGGAGGTGGACTTTTAAGTCCACCTCCAATGGGTACAGGTACAGTATTGCTAGTAAGCAATATATGGTATAGTCACTATTCGTCATTACCGACAATCTTCTTCCTGTCTGTGTATGAATTTTATTATTATTCCACATTTATTTCTAGACAACTGGAAGTTCCACAAGATACTGTACATCTACAAAGGGCACAAGCAAAAGAAAACGCAGCAAAAGAAACTGCCACGGACGACGAAGCTGAAATTGAATTAGAAGTAAGTAAATATTATTATACTTGTATGTAACGATTATTTGAATTGATTAGAGATGTAAATTAAATTAGAATATTGCACAATTGCATTAACTAAGAACTGTCTTTGAAAGATTCATATTATTTTACAAAATTATCATTAACGTAAAAAAGTATACTCTGATCGACAAAAAAATACAATTTTTAATCGTGATGAAATTAATATAAGATCATTACGTCTGGTAGCCGAATCCTTAGATCCCAAAATAATAACCGATGCCCTAACTTAGGTTTTTAAATTAATTGATTCAAAATCTACTTCGAAATTACTATTTTTGTAGATGAGAATCCATTGAGTAGATTTTAAGATCGTCGTAAACATACAGTTGCACGAGCGGAGGATATGTATAGATACAAGTATTTTATAGATATATATTTTATACCTTGGTTTACATTATCGAAGTATTGGTAGGGTTTCCGAATGTTTCTAGTAATATGTTATTCAGGGATAGTTGTAATGTTGACGGACGGTAAACATTGTTTTGGCATATACATTAAGGTCTGTATTAAAAAATAGGGGTTACGGTATAGTAGAAGGGTGAAAATTTAAGGCTCTATGTATTTTTTAATGCCACATAATAAAAAAATAAAAATATATTATTTCTGGAAAAACGAAAAAAAAAAAGGTTTTGGGGTGAGCCTGCCTTCACACTTGGGGTAAACAAATTAGTTATAAACCTATTCTCAGACCTACTGAATATACATATAAAATTTCATTAAAATAGGACAAGTCATTTCGGACGAGTAGATATGAACACGAAATCTGTGACACAAGAATTTTATATATTAAATGAAATATAACGAATTCTACAAAAAAAGTATTATATTATTTTCCTTTTCTTACAATAGGAACTGGAAGATGGCGGCCCTCCAGCGAAACGTCGACGTATGAGAAGACTAATAATCGACAAGAAAATTAAAATAAGCGGTGACATCCTACATGCGAGGATAGGCAATGCACACTTGGAGTTGCGATGCGAAGTATCTATCTCTATTATTCGTAAAAAAATATAAATCATTTGTGTACTTGCTTTAATTTATTTATATTCCTAATTTATATATTATTTTAATTATATTTTAATTCAGGCAACTTAATATTATTTATATGTATAACAATATACATAGGTATATCCCATATTATATATACCTTACAGACTAGCACATATAGAAAATAATAGTATTTTGGTGACTAGATATAGCCAATTATTGTGATTAAGTTTTGTACAGATAAAATATAGGTTAACATTATAAACTAATTATATTATAAACGAAAAATAAAACAGTTTTTTGGTTACGTTTTTACGCTAATCATGTAGGTATGATTTTTTATGTATTTTGAATGGCAAACAAGCTGACGGGCCCATCTTAAGTGGTAATCATAGGCTAGAGCTATAAGTGAAAACCACAGATATAACTGTCACACGTAGATAAATAGGTACATAAGACGGATTTATAGCAAAATACATTCAAGGCAATCTTTATTTATTGAGTAAACGATTTTTGTTTGTGTTTTTATCATCGCATGATTTAATTATTGAAATATCTAGATAATACATATTTTAAATAATTCTCAGAATTTATATGTATTATTTACCGGATATGAGATAAAGTTACGACGGTAAAATATAATTTTTATTGTAAATGTATTTGCACAGAAGGCGACGGCTCAACCGTCCACTGTATACATGAAAAACACCATGGATTTACTATTACTATGTGCTGCTACCTATAGCACTGCCACTCTTAAGGAACTAGTTAGATACCTACTCAGTTATGAAGTCTATTTGTCACTTTTTTGAGGGCGAAATATAAATCATCAATCAATCGATAAATCCTAAGAATTATGAATGAATAAACAGCAATTTAATAATTCACTTAATAGTGTAATTGGACTTAGTAATGTAAGAGAAGTATCGCGGCCAACACAGTGTAATCTGCTACACCCATGATGCTGTTCATGTCAATAGATATGGGATACCATACTGTATGGTGCGGGAAGTAAGTCGTTTGTCATTTCTATCCAATTACATTATTAAGTGAATTATTAAAATGGACCTTCTGAGTTTTAAAATGTTTAAAAAATATAGCAGTAAGGTAGGTATTGGTGTAACATATAAATAACATGTAACATATAATTACCGTGAAATTTGAATGCTGTATTTTGTTTTTTCATTTTGAACCATAAATTCGAAATATGAAACCACATTTTTATTTTTTATCCATTGTAATGTATGTCAGCAACAAACATAGACATAATGTTGATAAGATATACTACTCAAATAATCTCGATAATACAAAAATACACTTTAATATCGAAATTACTTTGGAAATAACTCTGAAAACAAGTAGAAATGTAGAGCTCTATGATGTTATCTATTTATCTACCCAATATTACTAATAATGTTACCTACCTACTATATTCCAACTATGTTTTTTTTATTGTAATCTAGGGAACTAAGCAGAGGCTTCGTTTAATTTAAGATGAACGTTTTTTTTCGGTTGAATAAAGGTAGAATTTGATAGAAAAAGCACGCAGATATTATTTGATTCCTACAATTTTTTGTTATTAGGTTTATATTTGCCCTTACTTTAAATTACCAGTTTAAAACATTGTATTTTTTTTATTAACCTACGATCCTAAAGAAAAAGAATATGATGTAAGAGAATATTTGAAATTATCTCCAAAATATAATGACCGATGTATTTATACACTACAGATTATTAATTAAGCAACGACACCAACATAGCTGTAAAACTTCATATTTTTTTAAACTGTTTTGTAAAAGCACATGGTACAGAGCCGATTGTGAAAATAAAGTACCGCCCAAAACTTTCAGAATAGTTCAGACGATATAATGGATGTAAGACTACCCGCGAACGTGTACTTTCGACGTCCATGCCACACGGGATCGAAGATACTCTCGAACTCGAATATTGCACTTGCATTAACGCGTCTGTATCAACGGAACTTAGCATTTCCTAACCCAACTTTTCCTGAAAAAGAAATGGAGGTAATTTACTATTTTCCTATTGTTTTACTACAGTTTTCGTGACCTTAGTTGATTGCCTAAATGAAGTAGGTATAGGAGGAATACTTCAGTTAACGATATGATCAGAAAGGAATGATTAAAATCTCCTTAGAATTAGCACCGATATCACATAAAGTGTACTCGAAAAACCAGCAGAAATGAGAATTTTGCAATTAGTTAAAAATAAGCATAAAATACAGCTTGCTCAATAAATTGAAATTTTACTGCAAGATAACAAGATACATACCATATTATATTTATTTAATTAGTATAAACAGGGTGGCACAGTTCAATAAACACAGTATATAGCAAAGCTCTTTGGTTTGTTACCACGGACTTTTTAGTACTGAGTTATTATTATTTTTAGGAAGCCGTTGCACATCAGGGTCTTAGATCTCGAACAGGGTCTAACCTGCGACCAATCGAGGAAGAGGTACCAATAAATCCAGAGAGACAACCAATAGTCACAGAAATAGCAACAGAACTAGAAGTCTCCAAAGAGAATAACTTACTCACTGAGTTTCAGGATATACAACAGATTGATGTATCCAACATGCCTACACAAAAGTTGTACTCCCCTCAAAGTTTCAAGCGTAAAAGCGACCAACAAAAACCTGTAAGTACATTAAAATTATTTCAGTAATCAGTTGGATATGCTATTTGTTTTTGTATATACAACATATTTTTTCTTTTACAGGCGAAGAGGCAACGCTCTTTTGGATATATAACATTTCGGGAACATCAGGGATCTCGTGGCGTACCACTTATAACCGGTAAATATTCAACAGGTATTCCAGCAATTATCAAACCAGGTTAATGGAAAATCAAGAATAAGTCCTAGTTACTGTAAAGAATTATTAAAATTAGTTCGGCTTTGGAGGGAGATATCTTAGATACTTGGACACACACGGTTTAAGACAGTGAAATTAGAGGGTATATTCGGAGGCATGCCATCGAAAGACTAAAGACCAAAGTAAGAAGATAATTCTCCTTATTTTGTAATATTTGTTACTGAGGATTTCTTTTCAATGTAATATTTTCAAACATTGTAAAATATTTTGTGTGTTTACGACACAAGATATTTCAGCCACCTATCCTAAAATAATTGATTATTACATCCACATATCGTGCTCTTACATTAGCTACTTGCAATTTGTACAGAGTCAAGATCAATTCTTTATCCCTTTTCTAGTATCGGATATTGATAAGGAAAACGTACCAGAAGTACCGTTTGATAATATGGAGAGAAGTCTAATGGCAGCACCAGATGAGCCGGATAATATTGATAAAAATCTGTTGACAATGTTGGAAGAAGCTGGACTAGCAGATGTTTCAGCTACAAGAGTTGTAGAACATACTCAACAAGAGATTGTTAAATCTATAGAGAAGTCTACAAAAAAAGACGGAAGCGATACATCAGAAACGCCACTGGGTAGTCTAGACAGAACGAAGGTCTCTTTAGGAGATTCCGACCGTACTACAGACTCCAAACGGTTTATACAGTAAGATTTCTACTTTGATATGAATTACAGTGAAGTAATTTTTTTATGTCATTCAGCCGCCTGTGGTAACGATATATGCTGGCGAGGCAACTATGAAATATGATACGAGGATGAGGACAGGCCCGTTCCCCATTGTGGTAAAATGTTTTTTTTGGGAGACCACCTGAAGGTTAACCTGATAAGGGTCAATTGGAGCATTAGTCTGCATTTCTAACAGTCCCCTTTCTCCCCCAATGCAGTAAATATAGGAATATTTCAACTAAATCTTTACTAGTGCCAGTATATATTGACGGGGTTTACGGTCAGTTGTGTTAGTGGATTAACGAGTATATAAAAAATGTTTAGAGAGCTCATATGACTATATAAGTAGTATAGTAGTAATGTAGTGTTTATAAATACAAACTGTACTTCAAGAACTATGTACCCTAATCTGAAAGAAGTGATATTGGAAAATGAGTGATGTATACAGAACTTTATCTCTATTTTGCACTTCTATACAACGATTACATGTTTTCATAGTGATCTCGTAGGTACTGTCTGAAAGCGCTTTTGCCTTGTATTTTTCTTTACGTTTCTATAAAATATATTTATTTGTTCATCGGGTAGTTCCAAATATTACTCTATATACATACCACGTGGAAAGCAGCGTTTATACCAAGTTTTATATACATATATACGATGTATCGAGGTAAATTATATCATCGACTATTTATCAAATTTCCAAATTAGGTAGTCATGTAGGGTACTGTAAAAATATATAGAAAGTGCGTAAATTGATTAGTTAATTAAAATCACAGACATCCGTGTGACACTGATATGTATGATTTAGATAGTAAAGTGATTTATATATAAGTATCATACCTATATATAAATCATCACACGCCCCCATTTAAGTCTGAATGGTAAGATATAGTCATTAGGGTAATATGATTAATGCACGATATCTTACTTCTTGATACAGTAATATAGTGATATTTTGCATACATAATAATTGTTGTGGGTAGTATACTTATTACTATGTCGACGGTAGTACAATAGTTATACAATTAAAGCAGTTGCCATCTTGACCTCTCGTTTACTTTACACAACATGGTGACAGCGGTGTGTTAATTTAATAATAAATAGTATATTACAGTTTATATTCGCTGTGTATAGTGAATTTTGAAAGTTATTTATAAAGCAAGTATAGTAAACAAAAAAAAATGGAGCATGCGAGGCCTCCGTCAGAATTGTGTCTGGATGGCAGCCCCGTCAGCAGGGCTGACGCGTGGCAACGATGGAAAACGCAGTTTAAGTTGTTTTTAAAAGCATCGGGGGTGCATAAAGAGGAGCCGGGTGTGCAAGCTAGTCTGCTCATTATTTTATATTCCAGTGGAATTGATGTGGCTGACCCCAGTTCCATTCGCGGGTTGCTCGTATAATGCAATTTTTTATGTCAGAGTCACTGTTCACAGGCCGCCATCTTGTTTCTATGAGTTAGGCCGTAACTAAAGTTTTTTATACGAATATATACTCGCATTCACTGCGTTTTGACTATAAATTACTAGTCTATACAGTGGAATACGGTTTTAAATCCACAGGTGAACAGTTATAGTGTGTGACATTTTTTTCAGTGACCAATGGGGTACAAGAGGTACAATGGTTAAGATTCTGAACTATAAAAAGTTGGACCAGAGGCCATTAACAGTTCGTTACCTCATCTCGAAGGGCCCGGTGTTGGCCGGTTACACGTGTATCATTGCTGCCCGTTGCTTCACTTCTATCCTAAGTAAGTTACTTTAATATTATCATTTTTATTTTAATTTAATATATCGTCTTAACCACAAATTACTGTGATGGTTGGATTACGATCCTAGTTTGCCAAACAGCTGATGTACCTCCGTCCTATTACTACGTCATATTACTTGGATTATGCTTTCTATGCCTAGTCGCCTGAAGTATATCAATTAATTTTTTACCTTATTATACTCTACAATATGTGCGAGTAGTTACAAAAATATAGTTGGTATCTAGTATTTATGAAAATATTTAGTAATTCCATACATACCATAATATTATTAATTTCTTTCACAGAACTAAAACAGCACGGATTTATTTGCGTTAGTAAAGATCCTGAAACGTTGGAAGTAACCGATATATTCTTGGGTCCAAAATTTGATAAATTACAGCAGTAAATTGCTTGTACTTCATAATAATTACTTCGTTACAAATTTATCTTTATTTTTGATAATTACACGTTTGCTTGTTCTTTAATTGTATGCATTGTTGACATTTAATATATTTTTTCTACGTAATTTTGTTGTGATTTCAAAGAATTAAACTATGTTGTTTACAAGTCGCTAGTATTATTTATAAATAAATGAAACTAACAAATTGATATGATCAATTTATTTCGTAATTTGTATATAATGATATGATTTCTGTACAATTTACATATGTCATCAACTAGATTCAAGTCAACTAGATAATTTTATGAGTATCTTAATTTTAGGAAGGTAGTGGCTTAATAATTTACAATAAACGCAGATAAAGCTGTACAGTAAATAGTTGACTTAATTATTTAATTGTTCTTAATTTATACAAAATAGTCATATACATTATAGAATTGGAATATTAATAATAAATCTAACAATTACTTATTCTTAGGCAATATCTTTTTACATTTTACGAAGCTTATAAAATAGAACAAAAATCATTTAGGAGTTTTAAACGGAGTTCGTCTCCCTTGGTATAAGCATATCACTATATTTTTTTATACAAAATCAGTCTCCTACTATTTGTTAGCGAGCTATATCGCACGACAAATGCGACGCTACTAAAAATCAACTAATGATTGATAAATTTCATTAACACCGGCAGTATGCGATGGACGTTCAGTACTGGACACTTGGGCAAAGTTCAACAATAGTATATCGTATAAATTAAATTCATCACACCTATAGGTTTGCCGTGTGAACCAATTGTTTAAGCTAACTAACTCTAAGCTATTATACTCCTTCAAATCAAAGCACACTTGAGTGTTTCACAGCCTTACTACAGTCGTTCCAAGCTCTCACACAATTAATAAATTTGTTACAGTCTGTCCTTATAGGCTTAGGAATGACAATAATTAGGTTAAATAGCTACCGTTACTCGTCCAACACCATCTCACTTCTTATTATAATAAGCATTTTCTCAACATTATAGAAATTCACATATAATAAAATAACTAATAAATTCATTAGGTATGTAATATTTGACACTTATTCAATTGTATTTAATTTAATGTAAACATAATTTACACATGAAAGTTTATTCAAATAATACATTGTTTAAGAATAATAATAATAATAATATGGTCAATAAATATTTACTCGAAACTTCATGGTTTTAACCTGGAAATCCAGTGTATTCAACAAACACAAGATAATTGTAAGAAGTCGATAGAATATTAACTATAAAAGAGCATTTTGCTTTATAATCTATCACAGATCACTCGATACATTCGGAGTGCTTTTAAAATACATGGAATGGTTTTTATCAGTGGAACTAATGCTATATATCGTACACATGAGAATGCGTCGAGCAACCCCACCTATAATAAGTACAGTCATTTACTGCAATAGAAATAAAAAGATTCAATTTGAAAACACCTTCCTATAGAGCGCTTGTCTCTAAGCGTAATGGTCGTGAGTGTATAATAAAAAGATGTTCAATTGACTCGGCAATAAAATAATATATTATAGCATAAATGTTTGTTCTCAAACATCCTTTCATTTCTAATGCAGGTTAAAGACCATAGTGAGAGAAAACCACATTAAGGAGCCAGCGAGTCGCTATCATATTCTTTGATAGCTGTATCGTTATCCGCTGACGGTATCTGCTCGCCATAATTCATGCTCTCAAAATATTGCTGCGGTTTACCGTTCCATAACGAATCTTCGCCGTGCGAGTTGATCGATTTCAACGTTTTGTCGATCGAATTCGCGTTCTCGTAGAGTATCGACTTGGTGAGCTCTAGAGCTAAGTTCTGGGGCGTCTCGTATGCGAGCCGGTAATCCAGAAGTAGGTCGGCAGGCAGCGGACGAGAGCGTATAGCGTGCGTGTGTAGTCGCGAGAACAACGGGGCCAGACGTTCCGTGCGAGCCAGGTATTCCGCCACGAGGGGCGCTCGGGGGTCACTGCGGGGGTCACCGCGGAGATCACTGCCGGGATCACCAGCTAGATCACCGCACTGCACCTCCGCATCCACCTGGCCAGATTTCTGCCAAAATTCCCAACAATCATTACGTAGCTCTAGTCCGCCGCTACGCTGATTGATTCACATGTGATCAACATGTCACTTTTTATATATGAACTATCTCTGCAACTGTGAATATGGAGTCGTTCTCCGGAAGACATGTTGATGGCATATGGCGTAGCACCAGACTTAAACACTCGATAAATAAATACTAGTGCACTGGAACCCACTTAGCATTGTATATATCGAACAGAAACTATATTTATTGAGTGTTGTTCATAATACACAAATTTGTCTACTTTAAGCGACTATTAGGGAAATGTAAGCTGCAGATATAAGTAAATACAATTTTTTCAGTACTTAAGTTTAAAAAATCTGCATTCAATATATAACATTTGAATAATAAATTATGCTATCAAATTCTTGTTAAGTTAAAGCAGAAATGTATATCCATTAGCAGTATTAAAAAAGCAAATTCAATTTAATTCAAAGTACTACTTTTCAATTAGCTTATAATTTTATTTTTAAAAGATTTATTAATAAAGAGATATATTTCCGTATGTGATTAAGGATTGTGTAAGTGCATCAACCATTGTTAGGACCTACAGGTGGGTCTGATTTTCCAACAGTGCGCATAGATAGCCATGTGGGAGTTTTAAATATTGTTTTGTGTTTAGCCAATTTAATTGCCATTATGCCACTATGTCAAAATACAAAAATAATAACAAACATAAAATAAGAAATAAATAAAATTAGAGCAAACACTTTTCACACCATTGTGTTAACTAACTAATGTGACAATTAATCTAGTGTCAGTGTGATCTTATTAATGGTATTGTATTTTGTTTTCCACTTACCAAAACAATGTGGCCTTATAATGTTCTCTTTTATGTCACTGAGTGTGTAAAACAATTCTAGAAATTGAAATGGAGTTGAGGATTAATATAATTTGTATTAATAGACAGAACCCATGCCAAACAAAGCCATCGTGCATGAGACGAGTGTGAGACATGATTATAAGTTATGAAATGTCCATGCACTAATCCCATGTACGATAACTCTTACAAATAACAAGTACAATATTAGTATGGGTATTTTGTGATAGGCATAAAAATCTATTATTACAATCACATTACTTATTCATTAGCAGCTATGAACAATATGCACAGAATATTCTTTATACATTATCTATAATACATTTACTTGAGATAGCTGTATCAGGTATTACTGGTGTCGTACGCAATGTACTATAGAACATTCGAGTAGAAATTATTATCAGCTACCAATACATAGTACTGAACAGATACGATTTTTAGGCCATCACTGTGTCTGTATGATCATTAGTAACAATGTGGACATATAAATTAGAAAGAGAACATGCTTCTACACTATGAACCGATACGATCTACAATGGAACTAAATAAAAACAACAGAACTACTGTCAAACCAATGTTATCGCAACAGGAGCGGAACTGAAGCGTAACGGAAATTAGATGAAAACAAAAACTTACGATCGACATAATGGCATGGTACTACGCGGGCGGCGGCGGCGGACCGACGACCAACTAAACATGAGAACGGTCACGGCGGTTCGTTAACGAGTCACTGGGTGCACTCTCACACGGTGGGTTTAGCACTCGGGCACTGTTAGCGGCTACGAGCCGGAATCTTTAAAGAACCATGTATTCCAAAAGGAGCGGACGCGCACCTTGTCGTGGGGCGGCGAGCGGCGGACGGGCACCGCCGACTTGGGCGTCGACGTCGAGCTGCGGCTGCGCGCCGACGCGGCCGACCGAGCCGACCGCACCGAGTGCGCCGACGGCGGTCGGGGCGGCGCCGACGTCGCCGCTGACACCGGCGGCCGAGGCGCCGCGCCCTTGTGCGCCGTGTGCAGTGGAATACGGCTCGGCCGCGTGCTACGTCGCGGCGTCTCGGAGATCCGCGCCGACGTCTCCGAGTCGTCGCCCTCGTTCGCCTCGGGAATGTGCAGCGGCTCCATGTCGCGCATGCTGCTGTGCGCGTCCCGGCTGCGGTCGAAGCTCTCGCTCGTACTCCGCTGTTTGCCCTCGAGTTGCCTCACACGTGCGCGAGCGCCTTCCAATTCTATGTTTCTTTCCTCGAGCTATAACAGTTTAAATATACATTGTAAACGATATGTTACTTAATTTGAATTACGCCTTCGAATTGAGATAGAAAATGCTACATGAGAATTAACACAGTAACTGAGTACAATAATAATATAAACATGTAACGTACCCTGAATTTAAGGTCCTCATTGATGTCTTGCGAACGTTCTAGTCTCTCCAGTAACAGCGACCGATGCGCAGCCGCACGTTTTAGCCGCTCAAGTAACACCTGCAATATGCATATAAGTTATAAAAAAAGAAAGATAAGCATTATTAATACATAGAGTAAAGTAAATAGAACGGTGCAAAAACTAACATAAGGATGATGAGAATAAGCTGTAGTCTATCAAATAATAAAATATGTATGTATGCAAAGTAAACATTTCTTATGCAATTCCTATAAACATAATGTCAGGATTATTACAACAATAATATTAAGGTTTCTATAAAGATAAATAAGTATAAATCGCAAAAATAAATATAGTCTATAAGATATCTCTGAGATTTATAAAGCTTAAATTTAAATTAAAGTTATTTTTGTTAACTGTACAATAATGTAATGTAGGTAAATCGTACACTCTCAAGGGCAGGTCGTTTGGACGTCGCAAGTGTATTATTATCTACAAAATCTCGTAATTGCACGTAATCACTATAAATAATACGTATCGAAATAAGATATTACAATAATCATGATGTATTTCAAGTTACAAAATAACTTTTTCTATTATTTTATAACTATTCTACTTATTTTAGATGTGATAAATTAAGCATATGATCTTTAAATAATAACCGGCCAAAATACAAATGCTATCAAAACCTTTATGTCACAGGATGCTTTGAGCTAAAGTACCACTACCAGTATCACCTTCCACACATATGATCCAAGTTAGCTTATAGTTAGCGTATAGTTTACTAACATAATGCAAGATGTAATAATTTTGAAGCAAGCAATGTATTTAAAAAAAATTTTGGGCAATGACATCTACATGTTTGTTAGATGTAAAATGATTTTCAATACTGTCTCTCTGTCTACATTGCAGATAACAAATGTAGTATAAAGCGTGCTGAGAAAAACTATCAGACAATAAATATAAATTACTATAATCAAAACTTTACTACCAATTATATTATTAAAAATATGGCAACAAATAAGCCTTGGCTGAGAAATTATGTACAGCAATTAGAATGTAGTAACAATAACGGTAACAATTAAGTAATTGCATCAGATACAACCGTTGAAAGTTACAAGTTAATGAATCGTTGTGTCAAGGGGGAGATAAACGCAGAATTTGTGTACAGAATGAATGTGTCTTACTAAATCGTTTGAATACAGAATTTAACTGAACAGAAGGAACAGTGGCGCAAAGAAATAGGCTCGCAATCTGCAAAGGTTAATCGCATTATATACGTTCTGAGGTAAGTATAGTCAATCAACTATTCTGTCGGTTTAAAAAGCCGTGTAATAGACAAGGAGACATATTGTAATTTTTTTTTCTCCGAGTATATTTGCGGTCAGTCCTAAGATTATGAGCGAATGTATTCTGTGATACTGTCATGTAGAGTGGTTTCCGTTTGGGAACTTCTAGTGATCTGTATCCTAGACCTACTGCTGGTTAGATTCGCTTCTAGCATATTGTCATAATTTTTTTTTTAACTATGAAAAATAGCGAATAACTTTGAAGTATATGATGGAATGTGTTAATTGTGATAATATAATATTATAAACGCGTAACGTAACGTTTATGAATATGGATAGGCGGATGAACGTTTGTTATTCTTTCACGCAAAAACAACTGGACGGATTTTAATAAAACTTTACAGTTATTTATGATTACTGATACATTAGAATAACACATAGGATAAATGATTTTAAAAGACGTTAATTGGGCGAAATCTAATCGTAAATGTCAAGTAATGTCAAGTGTGTCAGGTGTGATGCGCAGTCGATGTTGTTGCCTCGGTGTCGTACCGTCGACCACAGTGTTCTACCTTTCACACCTGTAGTACGATACTACGGAATAGGATATTAGATACATCTAGACTAGGAGGTAACTAACAGCTGGAATTGAGTCATTAACAGTGAGTCACTTTTTATCATGATGAGGAAATACATGACTGGAAGGAATAGTGTTATTAGGCAGGCGTCAGCGGTGTTTCCAACATAGACGTTAATTTTTTTAATTTATAATTCGCCAGTACTTAGTTATTAAGGTAAAAATATGGGCCAAATTATAGTGATGCGAAATATATAAAAAAAATATACACATATGTACAAGTGAAAACACGGAATATACGAACATGCGTATGTACAATAAAGAGTTACTATATGCCTAGTAAACGAATATTTCATAAAAGCTTATTTTTTGTTTTAGTTGCAAACAAAAAAAAATCTTTTTAAGCTTAAGAACACAAAACGACGATAGATTTGAAACATAAAAAGCTACAGTAACAGCGAATGACATCAGTTGAATACCACATGAACAACACCGAGGGATTAGCTAACATAGCATATTATAAATGTCATTAAAGCATGACAATCTAACATTTAATAACAACATAAAAACAGCTCCTTAAATAATTTCCAACTAATAATATAACTGTCATAAACATACATTTTTAATGTGTTGAGAGACCGTTGACCTGAGCGGAGTGTTATGAAGAACTTTAATTTCAAATTTTACCCGTAAAACTAAAACCGGTATTAATTTCTATGTCCAAATCAAATCGAGTATTATTGATCGTTGAGTAAATATAACTCGATTAACTAAATCAGTTACATATGTCAAATGTACAAGAGGTATAATGACCGTAGTCAATTCCTATGAATATTACAACTCCAATTAGGAGGTGCAAATCGCAAACTTGACATTAGACGTTCACGGCTTGATTAGGCGTGGCCTTTCGAGAACGTATGTCAAGGTTCGATTCCGTAAACTCGAATTAACATTTGCTGAAATAATCGATGTTATTCAATACAACAAACTATTGTAACACGTATAATTTATGTAGCAATCAAATACATTCTCCATTGTAGGCACTGAACAGGTAACGCCAAAAAAATAAAATGAAAACAGCTCGCATATTTCCGCAATCAACCTGATACGTGACTGTGGTCATATACCAACTTGAAATACTTCTAAATGACTAGCTGTTTATTTACCGCATGTTTACCCGCACGAACTCCGTTATTTCCCATTCCTGTTGGAATTTAAGATAATCTTTCCTAGTAGGGACTGACACATTTTATAAATCATTTAAATTATCAAGTTTAAAACCCAGTATTTTGATTAGCAGTAAGTTACTTTGTATATGGATGGATTTCAACTTAGAAATTTACCTTTAGACAGATAAGACAGTGTCTGTAATGCACACATTAGGTTACAAAGAAATCCTTGATTACTTATGCAATAAGTACTTAATATATATCAATAAAAGTGCCCAAGACACTAGTAAAATGTGCATAATTATTATAATATGTATTATTATAATGTAACCTTGAAGTTATGTCGTTATTATACTAAATTACATTAAACAGAGAGAGCGCAAATAGACTTCCGGAGTATTAAGTATGTTACATGCAGTTAAGAAACACTAATTCATAAGGAAACTGATCGTTACTTATGATCAGTCAGAATAGGCCAAGGTTTATGACGCACTTATTATTGTTTTATAGAATCTCAGACAACTTAATCCGATAAAGTCAATAATTGTTAAAAGCGTTGTAAAAATATATTGCAATTAGGTATTCACTTGATTTTAAAGTAATAAACAGCAATAAATATTTTTTTGTAAACTATGAAAATAACTGCTTTTTATAAAATTGAATTGAATTGTTATATTTTTCTGGGATTTACAATGTTGCTTTTCATGTTTTTTTTTTCTTATTCATTGAATCGTCACAATTCGTCAAATATTATATTTCTTTAGCTTATAAAATTAATTAAAGAAACTCTTACGTTGCGTTGGCTAATAATTATTGAGTTGTCCAAGTCTTGTTAGTAGCACAGGCATCGCACAATGCTTAATGTTGGTGGTTGACTGGCCTCCGCCACACTCCATTAGCTTTATTTACTGTTCCGCGTAATTTTGCCGAAATCGCGGTTACGTAACCCAATAGACACAAACTCCTCGTTAGTGCAACGATTTGCTCTCAAGTCGCACGTACTACATTACCTCACTTGTTCTGCAATTAACCATCTCAGAAGACAAAAAATGGCCAAAACTGTATATTTAGTAAATTGCTCTTATGTAATATTTTAGGGTAATGACTCAACGTAATAAATACAGTCCTACATGTACAAACTTATCTCATTTCTGTTGAAGCTTACCTGGTAGGGGTCATCTTTCGAGTATAAGTAATTTAGCGTAAGCCGTTTGCTTTTCTACGTATTGTGGTAATTCGTCGTGTAAATATATAATGATGACAATTTGATATGTACATATACACACATGTGAAATATTCCCAATAAATCTATTTATCTTATTAGATTATAAATATAAATGAATAAATATATATAATCAATTTGTAATATAATTGAGTAGCTCTATAGCTAATAAACTTTATGGAGGACTATTCCTCCATAAAGTTTCCTCCATCTTATATTTACTTGTATTAAACCTAAATATAAGTAATACAAAATAATGCGTCCAAAACAACCGTGGTAATTGCATTGTTCTCAAAGTATTACTTGAGACCTATAAGAAATAAGACAATGAACACATTGGAAAACAAAGTTCTGAACACGCGAACGTGAGACAGATCGTATTCTTTTTTTGTTTGCTATATTTGCAACTAACAATTTAATCTGGAAAGCGATTCATTCAAAGCTTTACGGCATATGCGCTTCAGTAATTGTTTAAGTAGGTAATAATCTTAATAACATTATTTGAGTAAATGTATATTAGGCACTTTTTATAATTTTTAAATATATTGGAATTAGAACTGAACATACTAAATGCTGGCATCTATCAGATCTTCATTACTAATATTTATATTAACTATCTATGGAACTATCCCAGTACTTTTACTGGCAATTGTAATCTTAGAATGAACACCTGATCGGAAGTGTAAAGTAGAGAAACCGTAACAAAATACTCGAAACTAGAAATGAGATATAAATGCATTCGTTTTATTACGCTGTCTACGTGAATCAGCCTAAGTATTATAACCTTCCCACTGTCATAGAATAATAATACCCAGATATATGCGATCTGTAGACATTATACTCAAGATTTACTATGGCGATGTCTTGTGTCTGAAGCTCTTCAGCAAAATCACAACAAACTTCAAAATCTATACTAATATACAAACCGCTGAACTGACCTTAATGAAATTTAATATGAAGATAGATTGTATCATCGGGACGAGCATTGGCTATTCTATAATCATTTATAGAATAGCCAACAATATATATACACTATACTGCATAGTATAACTTTCATGAGTTATACAAATACTGTATATTTTTCTAACGATACTTATGTGATTTGCTCTCATTTGCGTTTCTCCCTGTCCCCCCTACAATACATGCGCTGCGAGAACAATATCCAACTGATTCTGTACAGTGGAGGTGAGGAACTGCCTCTGAAATTCGATGGGATTGTGCTCAAGGAGAATCGCCGCGAACTTCTTGGAGTGCGGCGTGCAGACGTGTGGTGTTCACGAGGTTTCGAGCGGAGCAGAGTCAGACTTTTCTAACAATTCTTACGTAAATTGCCCTCATTTGCGTTTCTCCCCATTCCTATACTCTACGTGCGTGAACAATACACACCTGATTCTGTACGGTGGAGGTGAGGAGTTGTCTCTGAAGTTCGATGGGATTGCTCTCGAGGAGAATCGCCGCGAACTTCTTGGAGTCCGGCGTGGAGACGCGTGGGGTCCGCGAGGGGGTTTCGAGTGCGGAGTCGAGTCGTCCGAGGGGAGTCGCGGGCGCGACGGCCGGCGGGGACGCCGCCGCCTCCGCCTCCAGCTGCGCCGCGCGGGCCAGCAGCGCGTCGCGCTCGCACCGCAACCGCTGCAGGTCGCCGCACTCTCCGCACTCACCTGGGGTGTTACATTTATTAATATATATATATATACTTCCTACTATATATTATACATAAGCAGTGTATACATATTATTTATTTTTAAACTTTCGCGTATACTGCTCATTATTAACATAGTTAACACAATCATTTTATGATAAATAAACATCCTATTTACCTCTCGACTTTCGATTAGGTTGCACTAGTTGTGGTCATGAGCTGACTTGACTTTTGTTTACCATTAAATTATAATCATATCATTCTTATTTTAATAATGCACAATGTTACGAAGACCCATAAATATAACAACGTTTACGAAATAACAGTAACAGAAAACGCTCAAATATCTATGTTTTATATCTATTGTACTTCAAAGGAAAAATATAAGAAAATGAAAATTATTAATTCGCATACAAAATTACATGGTACGGAGTTACAAATCGGTAGAAACTCTGTGAAAATTATAACCAACTATCTCTACATTTAATCACACAACACTTGACAATACAAAAGATGGATTTGATTTGTAGATTGTTTAATACCTCCTAGTCCATTAATCATATCAAGTACCTAACGTAATTCCATTGGATAACAAAATTACAGTTACAAGGAACAAATTGATAGGTATAATTAAATTGTCTCGCCAGTGACAACTACAGATAAAAAATATATCTGAAGTTCGTATTGTGTAGGATAGATTTATATTTCGATTACAACACTGAACACAATTTATTGTGTATATTTTTTATATAAATATTTATTATAATATGTGTATAAAAGTATAGGTAAACGATTATTTCTATATTATTAATTTCAAAAGCAAAATATCGAAACTTCATTTCATATGTAATTTTTGAGCTTGGTACATACATTATATGTACAAGAACAGTTCATTTTATATCAGGTACGTCGATAAACATTGCCAGTAGTAAACCTGGAATATTTCTTCATTTAACACTGTAAGCAAAAAGTTATCGTACATAAATAGTTACCTGATAGTGCACGTGCAAAAGACTCCTCGGCTGTATCAGCCGAATGTCTTTCATCCAATTCTCCTCGTAGCAGTTCGGCCTCGTCGCGTAACCGGACACCTTTGCGTTGTATGACATCCAAAAGCGGCCACAGTTCGTCCTCGAGAGGTCGCGTCCTGGACGCCGACGCGGACGCCGAGGCCGAGGACGAGTGCGCATCTTTTCCGCAAGAGGTCTCCGTGCTGAAGCCGGAGTCTTGCACAGAAGGCTGGGGCTTCGTTCGTGTTGTGTCTCCGCTACCTCCGGCAAGTTTTCTGCGTACTCGCACACCTGGCTCCCAGTCTCGGCGCGTGCCACTTGCGGGCGTTGATGGCGCCATCTTTGAGCGCAGGTTTGGGAATGTCTCGATGACGAGGTCGCGAAACTCGAGCAATGCGCCGACCTCATTCTGGAGTTCCTAACCGATGTTAAGAAAACATTATGCTTAGTATTTAGGGAAGGTAACCACACAGACGACATACATAGAGGTACAGATTGACAACCCAACCTTCTCAACAGGTATTACTGCAATATATATATATTGCATGTCAAAGTAATGGGAATAAATAGGCAGAAATTTTTAATAAGGATGATTGCAAGTATAAACTATACAGCTAAGTAAGTAAGAGACTACAAAAATATCCTATCAGAAAATAAATGTACAAATACACAATTCCAGTATCAAACCTACATATGGTGGTGTTGGCACGTTTAAACCCACCTAGCAAAATGTGGGAAATATTGCGTTCACCACCACGTCGATTGTTGACCATGCCTATAAACACCATTGGAATAATATCTATAAAGAATAGAATAGAATAGAATAGAATATTATAGACTGGTTAGGTATTAGTATTCACTGGCGTGAACTGATAGTGTAGTGAGAGAATACGAACGCACCTGTAGAGCGACGAGGGACTTAGCCTGCTCCGATATGAGGTAATGAAAGGGTCCGGGCGGCGAGCGCAATTGGATGCACTCCATGCCAGAGCCGCCCGAGCCCCCACTGGCACTGTCTGCACCTCCCGTCTGTAAACAAAGCAAACATTATATTAATTGTTGTAAAAGTTGTAATGTTGGTAAATTTATAATTGGTTGTAAATGTCCCATTCTAAAATAATGGGTGGGTCAGGCTTTTATAACGAGGGGTTGTGCCGCATTTATTTACTAACATGGATTAAGTAATTATTACTATCACAATGGACTATATTTTCTGAAATTAGGTATTTTTATACTAATCTAATTTTCTAATCTATAAATATAAATAAAGAAGGGATGTGTGTTTGTAATATTGAAATATTTAAATTTCATGTATATGAATATAAATACGGTACATATACTAAAATATCATTTTTTTACAATTTTTGTCTGTCTGTCTGTGTGTTCCGGCTAATCTCTGAAATAGTTGGATCGACATTGACGGGACTTTTTTTGGCAGATAGCTGATGTAATAAGGAGTAACTTAGGCTACTTTTATTTTAGAAAAATAAAATTAAATTCCACGCGCACGAAGTTGCGGGTACAGCTAGTACAAAATTATCTCATTTGTTAATTGAAAAATAGCTTGTGTACTGTTCTATTTATACATACTGTCAAGCTAAATGTCTAATAAACTTTTAGATATTGAATGGTTTTGCTCTCTCTCTCTCTCTCTCTCTGCAGTTTATGGTATTGTTATAGTCATAAAAATACTAGAACAGTTAGAATGGTTTCGTAAATTGTGTTAGCTTTTATTGTACAAATAAGAAGTACAATAAATTTTCATTCCCAAGCTAGAGACGTTTTGGCAGCAAAAGAGGTAAAGAAGGTAATAAACAATTTAGCTGTCACATTTATCATATTAGTAAGGATGCAATCAACAAAACACCTATTATTCATTTAGGCAACATGGTCCATGATATAAAATATTTCTAGATGGAGGCTAGGATAACACTGTTAGTTTGGGAATTGAGCCCTGTATAATAGACATAGAGTTCAATTTTCTGGAATTCATAAAAAAGACTGTTATATTCATTGCTGTTAGTTCCAAGAGCGGAACGCCCCGTTACGTAAATAATATACCGTGTTGTTGGTCCACTGACAGAATACATAAGTAATTACTTGTAGAATATACTTAATAACTTATTTAGATATATATTATTTATGTTTATCTTGTTACAAGTGAAACAAAAGAATTAGACAATAGTTAAAAATAAAGACGAGTTTGTCAATAGACAGTCAATTTACCGAACAATACCTTATACCTTATATCTCTCGATATTTTATTATAATTAAATATTAATATAATAAAATTAAATAATATTCTTGTTAATATTATAAATGCGAAAAATGATTATAGATTTTCAGAGAAATATGATCAAATGTTTACATATTTGTAATTTGTAAACGCCTCAGCAGCGTGACTGACTGGAATGAAATTTGATATACCCATATATCGTATTCCATAATATGAATTACTAAGAACACAAATATTTTATACCCTAATTCACACGAACTAGGTCATGCTATACAAGCTATATATACAAGTAATACATAAATCTAAATTTGTAATTTGCATATTTGATACGGCCAGGTACACTACTCGTAGTAATAGTAATCTTTGGAAATAATTGAGCAGATGAATTGCAGTAGTAATACCATAATTAATTTAATAGACTATATTTTAAGACTCAACATGCCACAATAAATGTAAATAATAGATTTATAAGTGTCAAACTATTTAATATTATGAGTTATTATTAAACGTCCTACAATTTTGAATTCGAATCCTGGCACGGTACATAACATACATTTGTATTCATTAGTATGATTATATGTATTGGTCTGGATGTTTTCTATGTACATACACATATGAACGTACTATATATTTACAATCTCAATCAATATGTACCTATGTATTTATATCAGTTATCTAGTACCTACAAGCTATACTTAGCTTGGGACTATACGGCACTGTGTTTATTATCCTGAGATATTGTTATTAATTAATTAAAAAAAAATAATGATATTGAACTAGTGTTATCCGCAACTACGTATGCGTGTTTCAGATATCACTTCCTATTGATGGTATCAAACAAAAAATTGTAACACTTTTACTACACGTGCTAGTAGTCATGTATTATCCATTATGTACACAAACATAAGTTATGTCTATTTTATATGCTGTAATATGTATAAAAATACTACATAAGCAAATGAGGAATTGTTATTCCATTTTCAAATATTACCCCGCGTATAGGGAACGTTGGTATGCCTGTTAAATGCGTACGTTAGTGCAAAACACATATTGGTCCCTAAATTAGATACTAGTAGTTTCGAGGAGGAAAACAGAAATAATGTCGTTGCTCAGCGTTAAATTGAGGCACGGTTGAGTGCGCGCGTCCGGGTTTGGGCGGCCACATTTCCTTCGCGACCATTGTGCGTGCTGTTGCGTTATAGAAATGTATTGCAAAATACTTATAAAAACGTACCATAAATAGTTTGTGTACCACTTATTCAAAACCCATATTAAATTGGTAAGTTTCGACGAAAAAACTCGGATTTGAGATACTCGAATAATGTCAAAATTTAATCAGTTTCATATCAAATTCCAAATAGGAAATTTAGTTTTGTTTAGTGGGTGTACGAGAAATAATGAATAACGAGATGACTACGAATATAAATGAATGGTTGAGGGAAACATTACGCCAACCCCAACTAACTAGAATAAGGAAGAAGCAGATGATGATGTTTATTGTAAGAAAATATGCACTACATATAATATTTATATTGTACAATATATTGTTTCCAAACCTATTAAGATACATTCTACATGTTTAATGATATATCTAATTGAAGCTCGTTAATATTTCTATTGACGAGACGGCGTCATAAATTTTAAATAACTATATCCGTGTTAGGTTGAAATATTTTTATTAGACATCACAATAAAGACCATCTGGACGGAAAGTAACATTTAATTTCACTTGGAAATTGGAAATCACTAGTTACCGGCACGATTGAGCTATAACGTTTACATTGACCGCAGTAAAATCGCTAGTTATTTCGATTTCTCAAATAATAGGGTGTTTAAAGCCAATCGTTTGTTTGAACCAGCGAGTGCTCTCATCTAGAATATGCAATTGTGATAATGAAATCTGTGAGATTATCTTTCAGTTTATTTATCTTTGAATTGAGTTTAAGAAAAAATAGCTGAAAGACAAAATTCTTCAGTTATCAGTGTAGTATGTTATGTAGCAAATAATAATATACGTAAAGTATTAATAAACAAATATTAAAGATACTGATGGAAAATGTGGGAAAACATGAGCGCCTCTGAAATTACGAATAAATGAAAACAATTCCAATAGATAGAAACTCAGCTACCCCTAAATAAAATTTCAATCTTTTATATACTTAATACTACATTATATGTTATGTGTCTTATAAACGTTCCAATACATTAATATTACAAGAAATTCCAAAACTTAAATTCTTATTTTCTAAAAAATAATGTTAATCATTTTGCGTCACTAGATTGTATTATCTACTTTAGTCTAAAAAGATATTATGATTAACAAGAAAAATACAATTTGAAGGTATCGTGTTATTATGACGATAAAATTTTATGATGACAATAATAACATAAAAGTACATATGCAACCGTCTCATTCATCTAATATAAATGAGAAAGTAACCCATAAAATTGTGGTTGTAAATTTTTATGTTATCATTTTATTGGCAATTTGGATACCTAATTTCTTTTAAAAAATAGGAATGGATACATAAGAAATGTTACTATCTTACTCAGGATATAGATAAAGATTAAATTTGCTTCCAGTCATCATTATCGCTTACTCACTTTCATACTTATTCACTCACAGCGAAATGCAAAATGAGATTACTCAATAAAATTGGATTAGATGATGACAAGTCCGAGTCTGACACAGTTAAAACACAAAGCATTACCACTCCCTTTAACAAAACGTTGAAAGTTTTTAGAAAAGGAAAGCACAAAATAAAACCTTACACCAATTTGCTCAGGCCAGAAGCTTAGAAATAAACGACTCAGTCTTCTACATATAAGGAAAATACCGTCCCATGATGCCATGGAACGCTAATAGAATGTTATGATTGTTGATGATACATAAGAAAACACAAAAAGAGACTTACGTGCATACTTATAGGTCTCTCTTGGGTGCGACACATTGCTAGTTGACTTTGGACACCAATAGATAAACAAGCCAAGCTTGTAAAGATTAATTACATCACAATCTAAAAATATTGACTCACTGTTATAAAAGTAAAGTGTACTTTAGCATGGCATCACATTCAAATAAATTAAATAGATATCACAATAAAGTAATTCTTTATAGAGCTCTTATATCAAACAAAGTAAAGGCGTATTTCACACTTAAAGGAAAATCAACGAATGAATATTATCGGAGTACAAATATAAGGAGGATGTACTGCTATTATCTATGTCAGGTATTTATAAAACAAACATATCAGTTGACAATCTACAGCCGTTATGACTTGGTCGTCATTATTAGGAAATCATAAATTGCCTACATAACAGCCTAATGAAATACTTGGACAAAGGTCCAGTGTAATAATGTCATCAACGAATGACGAGTGTTTTACAATCACCATATTAATCAGATTAGCATCGGTTATGCGATTTAAAAATATTGCACGACTATGGAAACGAGCCCACTTTTCAAGATATTAAACCGGTGTTCGAACAACTAAACAAAAACTTTAACGTTGAAACCGGTATCCGACAAGATAAGCTTGTTTACAATTTCTCATGTAATTATATTTTGTATCGAGCATGTAAGAATTCGAATCACGTTATATAGTATAAGCGAATCAATCACTAGCCACATCAAATATAATTGATGGCTGATTTATTGAAATAGACAGAATCTGCACAGATTTTTTCTGTGTAGATCCTCTTTTCTTGTGATACTAAGAAATTATTAAAAAACACGTAATGCATGATAAGGGATCCTTTATGTAGAATATCTAGTTTGTAGGATAATAACTAT